TTTCATTGACGATGCGACGAGACAACACAGGGAAATGGAGCTGGCATTACGATCGGCCTGGCTCACCCTCGCAAGCGCCTTGAGACAGAAGGAACAAATGTCTTCAAAAAGACCCTGATGACGGGGATATCATTGGCGGCCTATGCCTGTCGCTCCAAGGCCAAGTGCTCAGATCACCGAAGCTAGCCAATCAGGTGTCATGTGAACGAAAGGGTACTTGGACCCTGAGAAAGAGAGGAGGGAACCTACACGTCTTGTCTGACAATTGAAATTGCCAGAACACTCGACCGACAAGACAGCAATGCTGTGTTCCACTGTCTCGCATCTGTGGTGAACGACGGTTGATCCTCTGGAGGTTCTGATGCTACGACAGAAGGCGGCTTCTCGCCCATCCGCCCTCTCATTCGGATCTGCAGACTGACGGGCGCGCAAGGAAGCTTAGCCAAGCTTCGGCAAGTCTCACATCCGTTAACGACGCCGACGACTACCTCACTCGAGACCGCAGCTCAAGCCAAGGCTGTAGCTTGTTTTTGTCATTGACAAGTCTGCTGCAGAACGCAGTAAGCGCCTGTTTCGTTTACTTGACAAACATTGAGCTAAATGCAAGTGCTTTGACGCTCGAGATACCGCCAAGCGCCGCAGTCAGCTTTGATGTAAGGACAAGCTTGGCACTTGCTGCTGTCTTCTGAGGCACTGCGAGCTTGTCATCAATCGCACTCGGAGGGACAGCTGGGTAAAGCACTTCGTCCGATGCCGGTCGTGGCATACCGTGCCTCGTGCTCGATGACCTCAAACCGCATAGAAGTATTTGGCATTCGGCTAGTTCTCCACCGGAATCAAGTTTGTGATCTCCAGCATATTGGAATTCACCCAGACCTTGACCTCTATGCTCGTGTTCCAAGGGGCAATATGGCGTCTTGCAGTGTCAAGAATATGCCCAAGCGACGCAGCGCGTACGTCCGAGCCTCTGAGCAAATCGAATGACGAGCATCGTGGAACTTAGGTTGAGCCTGTCGGAGCTATAGGCAGCCTCCTTCGAAGGGACGCTGCTGGGTGTATGTGCAGGCCGGGGACGCTCGTTCACACGGGGTAGCGGGGTTTCTGCAACATCGCCCACGTCGATGATTGAACCTGACAAGTGTACCTTACAAACAGAAAGGGAGCAACTATCAACTAGTCGCGTTCGTAAAGTTTCAGCAACCGGTCGGGAGGCTGTCCCTGAGTTGCCATCAGTCGGGAGTCCCGCCTCGAGACGGGACAACCCTTGGACGAATGGATTTGATCAGCCAGATGGGATCATGGCCTTCGACCTCCTTTGGTAACAAGTTTCACGCCTCTCGATCCATTGACCAAATCAGGCTGGCTCATCGAGCAGTCGGGGACTCGCTTAGTATCCCGGCCCTCGATTCCGGGGGTCATTTCAACTTGGGACGAATGCCACCAAAGGATGGTCGGTTTCCCGCCAGCTGTGCAACATATCAACTCAACCTCATCCTGCAATTCGGGCTTTACCATCTCATCCAATGAGGAGTCGGTGGTCGTCCGCCGATGGAGTGAAACACGAAATCCATTGCTCCCATGACCGCCGGTCGTGTTCAGCCTGAAGACCAGCCGGCGTCGCGGACGTGTTTCAGATGCGCCATCAATCTGACGGGAGGTTCTCGTCGCAGAATCTCGCTTCACCACCAGACCGCTTCACCTACCTAGCTGAGAGACTACGGGAAACCCCTCACGTGAGTATGTTTATCCCTTGTTCATGCGCCATCCCACCCTTCTCCATGAGACACTCTCACGCGACAATGCAGCACATCGCTGTTGGGCACGTTGCGGAGTTGAGATGACGGGTGTGACGATCGGACGGACAGGACGGTCCCGGCAACCAGCTTCCGTCGGCGAGATGCGTTGAGCCGGGTTGGAGCGGGCTCAAGACATCTCCGGGCGCGGTCCGTCCTTCTTGCCGGGCGTGGACGCTGTCATGATATGTCACGGTGGCACAGGCCCGCGCCGGGTAGAGGCTGGCTCACAGCATCTGCCGTGAGCCCACGCGCACAACCACGGTGAGTCGCCCCGCCAACAGAGTTGCCATAATGATTGAAGGGGGGGCTGTCTGATGACGGTTATGACAAGTGATGGTGGAAGACTCGAGTGACTGTAGGCGCGTCTCCTCGAATCGCGAGAGTCCACCGCTAGCTGTCGAGTTCCATTCCGGGCCCAAGAAGCGTGCGGTCCAGAGTCTTTGCTAACTTTTTGAAAAAAGGCACCTTTGCTTCGCATTAAATTCGGGGAGCTATATGTATCCCCGACTCAAAGACCATATCCAAGTCTCGCATGCGCTTCGGACCCTATCATACCGAAAAACCTGTTTGGCTGGCCATGTGTGTGGCCAGCCAAACCCAAGTCCACTCCCAAAGGCTATTCAGAATCCTCAGGTTTCTAATAGCTGACTGACAACGCTGACATCGCTGCCGTATACCGTTCCGGGTAGCCCGTGCGACGCGGGGCAGCCAGCCGGGCTGTCCTCCGAGGATGCGAGATGGAGCCGAGTGAGCGATGAGGCAACGATTGGACCCGGCGTGCTGGGTATCAGACGCAAGTCACCCAGCTCTTGACATCGTGCCCATGGAGTCGTCCGGGGAAGTCCGGAGGCTTGGTCCATACCTTCTGTCCGGAAAGTCTCCAACTAGCTGTCACGGTGCTCGTAGCAGATAACCCAGTGGGCTGCAACCCCTTCGCAACGGTCGGCACGTCGCGCGGCGTATCTGCTTTGCAAAGCCCTCGGCTCTGGGTTCAGGTTGCACGGCGGTGCCGGGCTGCCGAGAAGTGGTGTCATTCAGAGAGCACGTCGCATATTCGTATTTGCTGGCTGGGTTGGGTCGAGTGACCTCAAGGCCAAATCACGGTAGCCAGGCGTCCGGCTCCGAGCCACACCTCGTCTTCGGGGCCGCCGGTGCCGTGCTACGGAGCCTGCGTCCGCCGGGCGGGTTGCACGTCGTTCTCGGAGGCTGCCATCTTGTCTCTGCTCCCTTTCCGCTCCAAGCCTCCAGTAGGAGAGGGTTCTCGGCCCGCACACGGGAGGCCATAGCTCGGTCTTGACCGGCCGACTTTATCCACGTACCTCCCTTTCCAGAGGTTTTGATTACAGTATCGCAAGTGCTTATGAGTGGTCGGTATGGAATCTCGTACCGTGTTCACGTACTACCAAGCAGACCCTCTATGTCCTGTGGTTCATTTCCCCAATGAGCTCGTTCTGCAGAGCTAAATTTCGGGCCAAAGAAAATCTCGAGTGTAGGTCCATAATCATCCCGCCATGGTGCTCGGCAGGCGCCATCTTGTATACAGATCGTCGGCTGTGCCATTTCTAAGCGCCTTGAACTGGGAGCATAGGTTGCACACTTCTCAAGTGAATACAGGTGTCCCTAGGCAATACGGGCTCCTTTTTTGAATAATAGAAACCCATCATCCGCCGTGCCCGAGTCCAGAATCGTGCGAAGCAGACATTGTACCCCTAAACCAATCGCCCAACCGTCATTCGTGAAGCCGAGCGGCGGAGAAGAAGATCCCGAACCCACGCTGCTGGGCCGGCACGAGCGTGCAGGCGTCCGGTCTGGAATGGGCCGGAATCCCGCGATGGAGTCAGTCTTCCCGAAAGCAGACGTTGCGGAGTCGTGCGGTGGCCGACGAGGGCGTATCGTACGAGCGGGACCGTCGAGTCCTGGGCGTTGCTATCGAGAGTGTCCGAAAGAGGGAGCGGTCTCTGGAGATGCTCCACACGCCCCGGTCGCGATATTGCCTCTTGGGATACAAAAACGCCCAGGGACGATCGTGAGGTTCTTGGCTACATTGGCGACAGCGGGCGGATCAACCGATCGTCGATGGCGTGGTCGACGCCGTTGCCAAGCTACACAAGCCGCGACATTCAACCCGTTGACTAAAAACAAGGGAAAAGGAAAGGGGAGGGGGGAGGGGGCCGCCGCCAAGACTTAAATATAGCCTCAGGGTCTTCGGCCCTGTCGCAGGCGCCAAGACCGGCCCTGGCCGAGACAGTCCGTAGACAGCGCAATGCAACCTCACCTCGAGCAGCCGTCGGGGGCTTGTCGTCTCAAGTAGACGGTCTTTTGATCTTCGAAACTTAAAGACCCATGGTTGAGCTCCCGTTAAAAATAGCCTGGCAGTTCGTCCGACTTGCTCGAATCCCCCTGGCGTTCGTCTATGAGCGATGCTGTGTAGCTCCTGTCTCACGTCTTTCCGCACCAGTTGTGTCGGTTCGATAGGGCGGCTTGGGCTTCGTGGTGGGAAACCCGACGGTAATCCCCAGAGACGAGGGGGAGGGGGGGGAACCGACATGAGACATCACTCAATTATAGCTTCCGTGGATTGTGTGAGGGTGCATCGGCGCAGTGGGCGAGACGAGGTCTCCTACACTCCATGAGCCTCGAGGCATGGTACAAGGTGGTCTCGGGAGGCGAGTGGTACTTCGTTGATAGGATTGACTCTCGAGTGAGCCGATAAGGCGACAACACGAACTGGCGAGATGACGGTCATACGTGGCGCGCGACATGTCCCCAACCCCTCCGGCGGGTGTCGAGAATCACTTTAGACAGATGCATCACACGGTCCGGGTGGAGAGTTGAAATGGAAAGCGGCCGTCATTTCCGAGTATCATCAAAAAGTCTTCTATCATGACATGAATATCCCAAATCGCTTCCGTGAGCCGCTCGCTTCCTCGTAAATAACCCAAAAAAGTACTAGAAAAAAAAAAATACCGGCCGACCTGTGTAGGAGATGGCCCAAGCAAGATCCCTCCCCAGCGCTGTGTCCGTCTCGTCATATCAAAAGACCCTACAACAACGCCTTCGAAGTAACCATGTGCGCCGAGAGCATCGCCGTATATCCCAGAACAAAATGGCCAGAAAACATCCGCTCAAACATTTCATACAACAAAGAGACACAAGAAGAAAATACGTTATCCGGGGAGGGTACAAGGAGACAGCCGAGAGGCCTCATCGCCGGTAGTTGTACTCCCTCTCCCTCCTCCGGTCCGAGATGGTGACCCGCATCCTCTCCTCCTCGGGCGGCGGCGGCGGCGGCAGCATGCGCGGCGGGCTGTACCGCCTGCCCTCGACGTAGCGGAACGTCTCGTACCGCGGCTCGACGGGGACGGGGACGGGGTACGGGACCCGGACGGGCACCAGCTTCTCCCGCTCGACGTAGACCTCCCGGATGTCCCGCTCGCGGCTCCGGCTCCCGCGGCGCGAGTGGCTGCGGCTCCGGCTGCTGCGCGAGCTCTTGCTCGACTTGACCGAGGGCTCGACGTCCACGGCGATGACCTCGATGGGCGCCGGCGGCGGGATCACCACGGGGGCAGGCGGCGGTGGCGGCGGGGGAGACGGCAGGGCCGGGGGCGGCGGCGGAGGGGTCTCGACCTTGGGGGGCGGCGGCGGCGGTGCGGGCTCGACGATGACGGGCGGGGGAGGGGGTGTGAGCTCGCGGGGCGGAGCCGGGATGAAGGTCGTCCTCTTTGTGCGGACGGTGACGGAGCCGTTGGTGGGGGGTTCGAGGTAGAGGCGCTTCTTGGCGCCGTGGTGGTGGTGGTGGCGGTGGTGGTGGTGGTACTCGTAGTACTCCCTCGAGGAAGCTAAGCCGGTTGGTTAGTCGGGTTGAACGGTGGACTTTGACGCCATCAAAGTGACGTCAGGGCTGGGGCTTACTCGTACCCATTTTTGAACGGCTGGATTCGTTCCAAAGGGACAGAGACAGAGGTGTGTGTGTGTGTGTTCTGAGTGCGCCTAGTTCGTGGCCTACACTTTTGTGCGACGGTGCGACGCCGCGAGCGAAGTCTCTTTGGTTCGCTTTTACGTTTTTTGAGTTGCGGGTTGTGCGGGCGGGTAGGCGCAGTTATCCGCGGGGGATGGGATGAACAACGATGCGTGACGCGACACGATGCGATGCGATGCGATGTGCAAGAAACCACCCAAATTGATAAAACAGAGGATGGAGTTTGCGGGTGTTCGGCGGGACTTGCAGACTGATGTGCGGCTGCGTGGACGAAAGAGGACGGTGATCACCTGCGGGACTGATTGTCTTTAAATAAAGTTACCCAGTGGCGGAAAACCCGGGCGGACTAGATCAGAAAAAGACTCGGACAGGTGTTTGAAGGGGTTGCCGGTTTGTGGGACTCTCGTGAACGGTCGGTCGTGAACAAAGAAACAACGGGAACGACGGGCGGGAGATGCGCCATCTATTATATAACTCACCACGCCAACACGAGGGTGCGCCTCGAGGATGGGGGGAGCTTAGGTACCGGTACTGGGCTTCGTAGCAGATAGAATCAAGGTCGCCCGCCTGTCACTGCCCCTCCTCCGCGCTGACGACCAACCACACCGACGGAAAGACGACGGGAAGGGGAAACACCAAGAGAATGACAGTGCACCAACCCATCGTCTAGCGCCAGCCAGCCAGTTAGCCAGCCTAAGAGTGCCCAGCGAGGAGGGGGCATCCAGGCAGGCCAGGCTGCCGTGCGTCGGACTCTGCCATCCGGGGGGGAGACCCAGTAGAGAGGCTCAGGCAAGGCACATCATCCCCCTCAAAGCAAAGAACCCGACGGGAGACCCAATCGAAGCTGCACGCAAGAGTGGGAAAGTGGGAGTGGACGGGGGCCGCGCCAGGATGAACATGGAGATGCACCTGCAGAACACCGCCCGTTCGACCGGGGGGGATTGTTGACCAGGCCATTAACGTTAAGGTATCTAAACGAAGCTGCGCCAACGCCAAAATAGACCCGATGCGATGCGATGCGAAGAGGAGCAATGACAATGACAATGACAATCAACGACGGGTGCTTCTCCGCCGAAGTGAAAATTAGCCCACCCGTTCAACCAAACCAGGACATCCCATCCCTCTCCCCTTCCGCTCCTCCTCCATTTTGTCTTCCCGTGTCCCTCTCCCACCCACATCCTTTCTCTCAGCACTGAACGGACTAGTGGGCAGGAGAGAAAGGTCCCCCTCTGCTTCCCTTCGGGTGGCCGACAAGGGTGCGCCATTGGGCAATTGAGGCCTTATGACGCCAGTGCGCACGTCACGTCAAAACCAAGATTCGAGGCGGTCGGCCGGTTGCCCCTCCTCCGCCTATTAGAGCGAGGCTTCCTGGGCGAACCGAACCGGCTGACAAGCCTCCGGCTCACGCCAGTCATTCGCCCAAAACCACCACCACCACCACCACAACGTGCCCTGCATCTGTCGTTCCCTGGCATGTGCCCGCCCTCGCTTCGACCGCCGCCCCTCACCCGCAGAAGCAGGCCAAGAAGAGGGAAGGGAGAATCAAGGTTGTGGTCGTGCTCGTCCTTCCTGCGCCCCGGGCCACTTCCGGGGAACTTTCAATTCGCACCACAGACGCATCCCTCTCGGGACTCGGAGGAGGGTACCCCTGATCGTGGGGTCGCAGGGCTGAGCTTGTCAGATTGGGTGAGCTGGCAGCTCCATCGTCGTCCCAACCATCTCCTGAATCGCCGTAGCTTGCTTCTGGCGCCATCGTTGGGCGAGAAGAGAGAACATTTCTCTGTCTGCCTAGTCAGAGGCGGGATGCTGGTTGGCTGGCCTCAATCTCAGTCGGGCGCCGCCTCACGATGCCAAGCCGATAAACGACAGCGATGCCATCGCCCCTCCGGCACTCGTGCTAGGTGCGCCTAAAATGCTTGTCCCGATCGAGACTCCGCTGGCGGCCCAACCTTTGACTGCCCGCCGCCTGCTTCGTCCCGTTCACCCAGTCCAAGTCTGAACCAGTCCCGCCTAGAGTCTGCTAGACCCTTGAACCAGGGTCCCGGCCTCCTTCGGGTACCCCCGAACTTCCTGGGTTCGATCCAAGGCAGTTGTCGTCGTCGAACCAGGGTCGTAAGTGCGTCGCGCACTTGCCGCGGCACGCGTCTGGCTTCAGGTCCGGCGGGTTCGACCTCCCAGGTGACTGTCTAATCGCCTCATGAATCTCTGTTTGGCTGACGGCGGCCGGCTGTACACTGGCTGCGGAGCAGGGAGCCCTTTGATCGTGTCGAGATGGTGAGGCTTCTCAGAGACGTCTCCGTGCGACGGAAAACTTGAACCAAGCGTCTCGTCGCCTCGTATCTTTCGAACCACCCAGTTGCAGAGGTGTCCCATCTCGCCCATCCACCAGAGGCCGAGCACGATCGTCAGAATGGTCACGGGTATGGCCGTCGCCCAGTACAGCCACTGCCCATCCTCCATGTCTCGGATGTCGCTAGAGTTCATTCCGAAGATGCTCGAAACGGCGCTCAGAGGCAGGAATATGATAGTCACAATGGTGAAAGCGTAAATGGCCTGTTCCTGGCGGTCCTTCGTCACCGCCGCGTTGTTGAGGTTCTAGTCTCCAAGTTAGCGCCTGCATCCCGGCTCCCGAGCTCACGCGGTATCAACTCACCGTCTGTTCCAAAACATCAGCTTGCTCGCCGTACTCCTGGAAGTCTCGGTTGCGCCGCTCCAACAACTGCGTGCACTCCGCCGCCAGGAGATCCCTGAAGCCGGCGGCGTCCGTGGACGGAAGCTTGTAAAAGTCGGAAATCTCAGCTATAGGCTCCAACAGCACATTCATGTCGTCGTCATCGGCATGTCTGCCTCTGCCAAACCGCAGGTGAGACCGCAGCGAACCAGCATCACGGCGATTGGCATGGTCAGTGAACAGCGCTCGATTCATGCGGTCTTGCTTCGGTGCTGCAGACAAGCCTTCTTGGCGAGACGCTAGAATGGAGTTGAAGACATTGCTTTGGGCCGCTATCGTGCGGTTTATCACGTTGACTTCTTGCCGCAGGAAGTTTATGCGCTGCTGGTACGACAAATCAGACTGCCCATTGGCAATCTCGTTTTCCTACCAGCCGTCAGTACACGATACAACAGTGAACAGCTCAATCAAACTCACCAAAGCTCTGAGGTACTCCGAGTAGGTGTCGGTGATTCCCGCATACTTTCCGGGTGTGTTGGCCAAGAGGCCGTAGCTGATCAGTGAGACCACCTCGAGCGGGAGGACCGAAGACCGCTCCAGAAGGTTAAGGTTTGACAGCCGTTCCATAATGTGCTTCATGCCGCTCTTCACCAGCGAGTCGGCGACGTCCAGATGGTCTTCCCACATGTGTGTCTCATGACCGGCATAGATCAGGCCCATGACGAGATGGAGCCAGGCACGGATCAGGTCCAGCGGCACATCGATATCCAACCGATCCGTTGGCTCAGCGCAGGAAAGGATGCTCTTGAACGCAATGACCGGAAGTGCGAGTTGGCGCAGCAGTCTCCTAACCGTTGGGGCATTCGCATAAACGGCGTCGCGTCTCGCCCTGTCGAGGTCATTCGGATGAGACTTTGCGTCAGCAGCCTCTGGTGGAGACATCTGTCAATGCGTTAGCGGTGTTGTTTTCGAATCTGAACATGAGAGGCAACAAAGACGTACCCTGACTAAGTTCATGACGGCGCCCCAGAATCTCTCTGTTGTCGGGCCGTCGAACAATGGAGGGAGAAAGAATCTGAACAGAGAATCGGCTGCGTTGAAGATGTCGATGCGCTCCTCATAGTCCTGCTTCCTCCACACCTTTTTCGTAGATTGCATGTCTTCCCCTAGCTGCTCGAGGTACAAGTAAACCTCATTTCGTGTGGACGTCTCAGCTTCGAGGTAGGCTCGCCGGTCCGGCCCGTTTGTTTCGGATGTCAGGAACTCTTCCACTCCCGATAGCTGCTTCTGAAGAACGATAAAGTTGGGGCCATCCACTGGACTCGAGGGAGTTGCTTCAGCCCAGCTAAACACATGGAACATCTCGTTGGTTTTGTTGGACCTTCCGGGCGGGAGGCTCATCCGCTCTCCAGATGACGGCTTGGGCGATTGGAGACTGGCACCAGACGGCTGTCCGACGGTGTTTCTCAGGCCCTGTTTGAGGGGCCTCAGAATCCCGCTGGGCGGAAGTTGTGGCGGGGCGCTGGCTTGTGTTAGCTACTTGCTCTCGCTTCGGGATTCGTGCAAACTCACCAGGTTTCCATATTGATCACGACATTCTTGCGTGAAGTCCGGGCAAATTGAAGCACCTTCCACCACCGCGGCTCTGTCAGGAGACGCCCGTTGAAGTGGAAGCGGACCGCCTTGGGCCAAAAGTCGGAGAAATGGGCAATGAAGGCGAACCACGTCTGGCATTCTTCGAGTGGGAATGACCACAGCACCGACTCGCCGTATTGGATCAGTATGCGACCCTGCTCTGCATTCGCTGTGGGCTCTCTCCCCGGTTCAGATGTCACTGCGATGGTGTTGCCACGCAGCGCGTCCTCGTACATGGAACCGCAGGTAATCAGCAGCGAGTTGTCGAGGACGATGCACCACAGCTGTCGAATGTGGAAGCACCAGTTCTTCTCCCCGTTGCCGATCTGCCGCGTTGCCTGGAGCATGTCTCGCTTTTGAGAGTTTCGTGAAAAGGCCGACTGAAGCAGTGTTTGGGGCGGGTAGGCTCCCGGGTTGCCTGTGGACTGGATTCCGGAATACTCTTCCAGGGAGAAGTAAGGGATGCAGAGCCATGTCACTGTTCGCTTTCCAGACTGCGGGCCCTTTGCTTGGTCGCCCTTCTGGAGAGGAAGTTGGAGGTAGCTGGGCTCCATGTGCTTCACCGTCGTTTCCCTGGACGTGCGGACGGTCTTTGAGTAGTTCTTCCTCACGTCGGAAAGAAGCTTGCGGATTTCGTTTTGCTCTTTCTCTGACAGAGCTTTTGAGATTTCATTCTGTGTCGAGGTCAGCTTGACATGAATTTGGGTTCAGCGTCCGTGTTCCACATACCGTAAACTCGTCAAAGTTCATCGTGTCTTGTTGTACGTGCCTGGGAAAATGTCAGCAATAGACAAGCCAACGAGGCTGGTGTCGGACTTACAGCCATCGGAAGAGCGATTGCCGGGTCCTCTTCGCGTCGTACACAACGTCCAACGCCGCAGAGTGCGCACCGCCGAGAACACCCTCACCCGTGTATCGGGACTGATACACATGAAGCGCTCTGCTCGGTGGCGGCTCCTCACCCCTCAGAGTCGAGTCATCTGAGAAGGGCGTCTCCAGATCAGATCCATCATCGGTCCTGGACGGGTCCGTTCCCAGGCGAGCCGGATCGAAAGCGTAGACCTTGCCGCTCGTCTCCTCCAAGTCAACCCACTCATCACCCTCGTAGTCCGGGTCGTGGTATTCCCGCTCATGAAACTGGGGAGGCATCGGAAACCCTTCAAGGTCGAAGCTCTGGAGTTCCGATCCCTCCTCCTCGTTGACATATACTGCGACTGGCCCTTCTGGTGTGGGCTGCCGCGTCTGCGTTTGCTCCTCCATCGGTGCAGAAAAGGCAACGGCCGGTTGTGTCTGCGCGGGGGCTTCGTACACGACAGGAGCAGCCAGCGGCGTCTTTGCCCGTCGCCGTGGTGCCAAGGGCTCTAGGGGCGAAGCAAAACGCACCACGGGCTGGATGACCTTTTGACTCCTCCGCCGTCCTGGGGCTCTGGGTGGCGGCGTGGGCGGCACAGGTTCGTAGATGGGATCGGATTTACGAAACTCCTCGATCAGCTGGACGAGGTGCGCCGTCTGTGCCTCTCTGGTGTACTGACTCCTAAGGTTTTGGGCTGATGTTCGTGATGGGAAGAGGGACGGGCCTCGACGGCGAGGAACTTCTCTTGAAGGTTCGTATTGCGACATTGAAGCGGTTCAAACACTGTAATACTGTGCTGTGCCTGCCGTCGTGTCGCTGCGACACAGTGTAAATGAGTTTCGGGTGGTGTAAGTGGTGTTCGTTCTTTCCGCTTGATCTTAGTTGAGCTGAATTATTCGGTTCCTCAAACAGGGAAAGGTAGCATCGATATCTAGATTGCAAATAAGCGAACGCTCCGAGAGATCGGCGGCGCGTCCGAACAACCGCATGGGTTAAATAAAAAAAAATCACATCGCCTGCAAATGGCGATTAAGCAACACTCCGCCGAGGCCAACCACCGGCTGCTGTAATCAAGGGAGGCAGGGGCCGACACTAAGGCGAGGCCCGCTAGCGCAGGACCAGTTTATCCCATGGAGCCCCGTCTGAGCGCTGTGCCCTTCCGCAGGGCACGCCAGGAACGTTCGGCGTTGACGAGCCCGTGGGCCGTTCCCCCGCCATCTTCAGCGGCCAAACGCCGGGAGGCCCCAGCGGGTGAGCAGCGCTAGGCCGTCGAACCCAGCCACTGTGTCGACGTTCCTGGTGGCTTTTCCCGCCGAACTGGGATCTTCCCGCGGGCTTTAGATTGACTACATCTGCATCACCTCGCTCATCTCGGCATCAGAAAGGATTTTCACATTCACGAATCGTCGCAAGTTGCCTCAACCATGTGCTCAGCTCTCTGCCATTCAGCCTTTTGGTACCCCACCCAAAGCCGAGGGAGGGTATTTAAAAGCTGCATCCGAGTATCTACAACAAACCGTGATCCCCCAAACTCCGCGCTCGCAAACCGGAGGGTATCGTCAAAATGTGGCCGTCTCAGAACCGAGACCGAAAGAGTATCTCCTTTCTGATTCCATACGGCCTTCTCATCCGCGCAAAGAAACAAACAAAGCAAGTCCAGGTGTCAACGTCCCAAAAATCCTTGTCCATCCTGGCCCCCAGACGCCATTCCTGGAAGTCCTGTATAGGATTTGGTGGTTCGAGTAACCCAGGTCATCCTCTCATCCACCTCAAATCGAAGGAGGAAGAAGGAAAACAAAGCAATAAAAAATGCCACAGGTGGCCAAAGCTCTTATCCATCCTTATTGTCATGTATCGGTACCTCAAGTCCGGTGCATATAAAACGCCGCTAGAGTGGTATTGGCTGGCCGTTCATTTATCCATCCTTTTTGAAGGAAACATGAGAAGAGCCGAAAATCGCACTGGTGTAAAGCGTCGTTCGTTGCAACAAAGGAAAGAAACGTAGAATAGAGTGCCGAGCAAGCTGTGTGGCAGCCGAGTCCTCGTCGTTGACCGTTCTAGACTCTTCAAGGGGTTGAAGGGTGACTCATCGTACATTGACGAGAGAACATATCAATTAAAGGAGGAAGTGGCCGTTATCGAGACATAATAGCCCAGGTTGTGAAAAGCAACATGCCGTGGATGAAGAAGTTCCGAGTGGGTTCCAAGTCCAAGGCCCTTTCCAAAGGCTACTGAGTAAGAAAACATCCAACAGGCTTGCCATCCTAAACTTGGTGCTTCGGCAGCAAATAGCGATGTTAAAGGTTGTAGCCAGAGTCAAAGCCAGCCATGGTCAGGCGATGGGTCATCTCGTTGATCGAAGCCTGAGAATACGGCATGCTTGAAGTGCGCGAAGAGCCAGAGCCGACACCCTGAGGCTGGAAGGAGTTATCGTCGGTCTTCTCGTCGACCCACTGCAAATTGTCGTCGAAGCAGTTGGGAAAGTCGGGCAAGAGTCCCTCGTGGTAGAAGTCCTCCATCTGCGAGCGCCATGGGAACGGAAGCGCCTCCCAAACCTTCTGGATGTTGTCGATGAACCCGTACTGGCGACGGAGGAACGGAAGGACTGCGAGGGTAACCTGTGCTAGGGCGAACTTCATCTCGCGTATCTCACCCGCAAACTCCTTCTCCACATTCTGCGTATACAGGTGAATATGCGCCATGCGCAGAGGCATCTCGAATCCAGCCAGCTTCTTGGCGCTGTTGAACTTGTAGTAAAAGAACCGGCCATTCAGAGCCTCGCGGAGGAATCTGCCCGCCTTGTGCATGTTGTCAATCTGATACTTCATGAGGGACTTGACACCGAGAAGCGTGGCGGGGCGATAGAACATGACATTGTTCAGGATGTAGGAGCTGCTCCACATGTTTAATCTGTCGGGTTGGTGACCGCCGAGCTCTATTGAAGTCGGATTAGAAAGCAATCCTCATTAGAGAAGAACCATACAACTACTTACCTCCCATGTAAACCCAGAAGATTACGACACTGATCATCGGTGTGTCATAGTCATCAAGCTTGTGGTGAGTGACCCCGACCTGTATCAAGACGTGAGCCAGAGTGCTACACTCAATGAGCAGAAAACAGGATAATGCAGTCTTACCTCGTTGGGTGGTGGGAGGGTCTGTGCCAGGTAGGTCGACTCAGAAACCAGAATCTCGCGATGAGCCGAGACGATTTTTCCATCCTTGAGGGTGATGGCGCAGTCATAGGTTTCCTTCGCATAGAAAAGGCTGTAGTAAAAATGTCAGTACTGCAGCTCTTTTCGTACACTGGGGTTTCGTTTCCAAGAACTTACCCAATGCGACGATCCCTCTCAAAGTTGGGCAAGCGTCCACTCTCAAGAGAGGCCTGGAAGACTCTTCCGTGATCGCCGTCTCTGTGCGTCGACTCGGAAGCAGCATCCTCAATCTGGACCGAAGCCTCAGGTGAGATACCACCGGCATCCTCGCCGTTGGAGATAATCGCGACATCTGTGTCCGGCTCTTTGTTCTCCTTGTCCTCCTCGTCTTCCGGAAGGGGGACTGCCGCAGCAAGAGCTACGTTGCTCTCAGCGACGCTCTCGGCAGGAGCCGAAGAGACAGACGCGACAGATGCGACAGACTCGAGCGACGACGGGAGTCGAGCCTGCCTAGCAGCCTCCTCCGCGGCCTTCTTGGCGGCTCTTCGGTCTCTTCTGGTGTTGCCCATCTCGTTGTCGCTGGCTGTGGTTGTGGTTGCGGTTGCGAAAGCTGTGGTGGGTGAAGAGATTGGTGATGTCGAGTGGGAGGAGGGGAAATTCTCCTCCTTCAAGGAGGAAGGAACTATATCATATTCCTCACTGCTCTCCCCTACACGAGCCGGGTCAGAGTCGGTGCAAGGGCTTTCAGTTCGTGAAGCCGCGGGAGCAGGAGACTTCCGCTCCTCTCCGGCGCTGTCCGTGCCCCCGACAAGGGAAGGGAAGTCTGCGGCCGTGAGAATAGGAAGGGAGGTCACTGGGTTCAGATTCCAGGCTTGGGGTGAGCCGTCGCCTGTGATCTGATGTCGTAGAGGGCTGAGTTTGTGATTCTTCGCAGCGATCTGAGCCCAAGACAGAGGAGCCATGGTGAGCGTACGTGGCGAGACGTGTGGAGGAGAGCGGACTAAAGGACTGTTAATAGGATGTAGGGTTATTAAAGGATAAAAACACAGACTTAGGGATGTTCAAAGCAAAAACTGCGACGAAGAGTGTGACGTGGTGGTGTGAGACGTGAGCAAAAAAGACAATTTTGCGTGTGAAAGGGAAGGTTCAGAGTGGAAAACTGCGCGGTTGAGGGCACGGGAAAATGTCAAAAGAGTGGTTTGCCAACATTAAAGGCATTCACTGGCGTGACAGGTTGGGAAGTGGCTTGTGAGGATCTGGCGAGTATTCAGGTAAACAAGCGAGCGTGTATCGCGTCGTGTTCACTTCACCTCATGTTACTGGGTTGCCATCTACTCGGATATAGGATAGAGAAGTGGAGCGCCTATCTGACGAGATGGAAAGAGAGAACCTTTCTCATAGCTACAGACTTCAGATCAGATGAGGTAGAGTCCCTTTCATCACCAAAGTCCAAGGCATGGAGTGATGCTCCGGCAGTAACTGCGCTTACATTCCTCGCCAAGGGGTTCGACCTGGAATGGCCTCAAGCCTGTTTCGAAAAGTGTAAAGACCACACAACATCAGGGCCTTTTGGGGGTTTCAGACTGGGCGACGACATGGCTTCTCTAATCCTTGGTGTTCAATTGTAAGAGGGCCCTCGGGCCGTTCTATGAGATGAGATCTCTTACCCGACTGGAGGCTTCCCCGCCATTCAGGGCAACATACCGAGGAAACAAACACATACGAAGCGAGCCGCTGGTGATTGTCTTTCTGGTATCAAAGACCAGAACATCACGGTTGGTTGGCTTGTGTGGCACAAACTCGTAGAATACCTTGGGCTGCAGTCTTTGTCAGCTTAGCTCGTGGATGTGCCATCGTTCAAACTAGGTATGGAAACGCAGATTCTGGGTTGAAGGAAGGAACTATTGCGCTAATCGAGAGCCAAGTAGTGCTCCCGCTGCAAGGGCGGCTTGAAGAACTTGGCAAGAATATCACCTTGTGGAGACAACGTTACTAGACTTTACGCTTCTTTCAAGAAGTAGAGCGACAGTCTTAGCCTACAGCGGCATTAGGGGGAGACTACAAAATGTAGTGACAATGTTGTTCAATGCCATGTCGTTGGCGGCGTTATGTAAGCGGCTAAGCGGGTGACGAGAACTCCGTGCAGATACGTAGTGAGTCAACGTTGATGTGGGTTTAGTGGAGGAGCAAACCTGGAAGGCTTCATCAAATGGTGGCGCTTCAAGATGGGTACTAGTTTCTGTACCTATGGCAGCACCGTCTCAATATTAGCACACCCACTATCGACCTACTTAACATATGAGGGCTTTTGCCTATCACCTAGTTCAGCGGGCATCAAAAGACTGTTCACAAGGGTTGGCCGAACCAGAACAGAACCCCAGAGGAGGGTGAAACCAAGACAGGAGGGGGATCTGGGGAACGGGCGATATATCGACGATTCCAGCTGAACATGACTCGTGCCATATCCGTCTAATTCCCCCAAATTAGGTAGCGTACTTAGCCCCCGGCCGATCATCCACGCAATACAATTTGTTCCTGCCTCCCGCCAGCTAGTAGACCCATCAGCAAGCGGCTCGCTGCGCGCTAAAACCTCCCGAAAACCTTTTGAGCCAAAAATTACCCAACTTGATCGAACTCGGAAGGAGCTCCAAGGCCAAGAATCGGCGCGATATCCGGACCTTGGTGTTTCTGCGCCAGAACCCGCTGCAGCGACTCCGCCGATCAATGCCCCGGGGGTCGCGACGGGTTTCGGACGAGTCGACTTGACCGACCCCATGCGGCGAGGGCCCTGCTGGTATCGGGTCTCAAACGCGGCGTTCCAGACGAATGGATGGGCGCTGGCAGCTCCACACCGCCAGAGCTGCTCGGCCTCACAATACAGCCCGAGATGCCACGGCGGCTCTCCTCGAAATCCCAACAAGAATAAAAGGCCTCGTGAATCTCGAAATCTAATCGGCCTTGCTGTGACCATCTCGGCTGATAGTTGCCACAGAGAACCCAGTCTCTGAACCAAATACTATTCCTTTTCCTTAGTTGAGCCCCGGCTCACACCCCCCCCCCCCCCCCCCCCCCCCCCCCCCCCAAACGCCTCCAAAGATGGGTTCAATACAAGGTAACCGCGCCCTCTGGCTCTCTTCCTACTCGGAGCCTCTCAAAGTCATCGACCTCCCCATCCCCGAGGCCCCCACGGGAACGGTCGTCGTACAGATCCTCGCAACGCCCGTCGTCCCCTACACACACCTGGTCCACACCGGCAAGCTCCCGCAGATGAACATCGACCCGCCCTTCGTCCCGAACCCCAACGCCATTGGCCGCGTCCATAGCGTGGGCCCAGATGCAACGGTCCTCAAGCCGGGCGATCTCGTCTACGTCGACGCCACCACCCGCGCCCGCGACGACCCCGTCAACGCCATGGTCATGATCGGCCACCTCGGCGGCGCCGGCGCTGCGGGCCAGAAGCTGATGAAGGAGTGGCGCGACGGCGCGCTGCAGCAGTACCAAAAGGTGCCCCTCGAGAACGTCTACCCCCTGAACGAGCAGCGTCTCGTGGGCGAGCTGGGCTACGACCCCGCCGAGCTGATGTCCATCGCCTTCTACTGCGTGCCCGCCGGCTCGCTGCTGGAAGCCGCTGACATCAAAGTCGCCGAGACCGTCATCGTGGGGCCTTCGGGTGGCACCTTTGGCGGCCTGGCCGTCGAGGTCGCCCTCACCGTCGGCTGCAACGTTGTCGCCCTCGGCCGCAGCGAGAGCAAGCTCGCCGCGATGCGCAAGAAGCTCAACAACCCGCGCCTCAAGACGGTGGCCATGACGGGCGACGAGGATGCCGACGCGGCGGCGATCCTGGCGGCGACGCCCAACGGCGCCGGCGCGGAGGTGTACAACGACTGGACGCCCGGCGAGCTGAAGAACCCGCCGTACCTCAACGCCGCGTTGCGCGCCGTGAAGCGCGAGGGCCGGATAGTCCTCAGCGGCGGTGCGAGCGAGACGTTGACGATCCCGTACGCGGCTTTCGGCCTCAGGAACTTGAAGCTGCTGGGCAAGTGGATGTGCGAGAGGCCGACGATGGTGCAGCTGATTAACATGATTGAGGGGGGCCAGTTGAGGATCGGAAGGGAGAGCGGCAGCGAGATCAAGGTCTTTACGCTGGACGAGCACCATGAGGCAACGGAGTTTGCGAGGGACAATGGCGCCTGGAGGAATTACACGGCCATTGCCCCGAATCCGTGGTGACGGTTGTTGGGGGTTTGGGGGATCGTCGTCTTCGTCCGGACTCGGACTGGACGAGACGGCTCCACGACAAGATTTGCATTCGTATCTAGAACCCACCTGAGGCAGAGGTTCTCGAGACCACTTGAAGATGAGAAATATGCTACAGTTATAACGAACCATGTGACGAGACGTACATGCATACATATACGATATGTATACGTACATAAATGCACACAAACATAAAATATATATTTTCCAGACCGGCAGTTACGTCTATAGCTTCAACCCTGTGAAAAGCACATCCAGATGGGCTAAATCCGCCTTGGGGACTGGACCTAGACCCCAGAGGGTATCCTTGTAGAACAAACGAGATTGTCTGATGCTGAATTAGGGTCGAGCTGCTAAGAGGAACCCTGCAAGGTGGAAGAAGGAGAAAAAGCAAGCTAGACAGTCCGTTTCTTCCACGGACGTTTTATCCAGCAGCGGGCTGTGTCACCTTCATCGCAACTCGGATTGGTCGAGCGTTTCTGTCCCGTTCATCAGGCTATTTGACGACCGGTCTAGCACTCGGCGTGTGGGCGCGCGGGCGCTTGCTGTGCTGTGTTTCATCGAGCCCAGCGTGACCGGCCGCCCACGTGCGTGCCAATGGCGAGAAGAAGACGAGTAGGGTTACGGGAGACAGATAGGCGACGTATGGAGTGAGATTGTCAGGTTATTTCTGATTTCCTACTCCAGACGCAGGTCAGCAAGTGTCTCTCAAAGCGGCTAGACACTGGCTGGCCCCTGGCGGTGCGATTGCTTTTATATGCCTGTTCGGGGGTTGCCTCTTTTCTTGCGTGCGCGCGCCCCCGCTTGGCTTTCGGGAGGCCCCTGAAGACCTGTGTGCGTTTTCCTTACTGCCCACACGATTACCATTCTTCAACTCCATCAAGTCTCTGGCTTTGTCTCACCCAGCGAAGCCGTGGCTCTCACACAACCAAGTCTTGAAGAAAATTGATTGTCTTCGAGACGAGTTCCGCAAACTCACTCACTGGACGGCGGCTCTGCCCGAACCAGGGGTCTGTGCGCTGCCACCGGGAGCTAGCAGCCTGGTACTATGTACCAAAGGTCGCAGTTGCGATGGCTCCCGGCCGCTAACTCCACTGACGCGTGAGCACCTTGGTTGGCGACCCTTGCTCCCGCTGCAACTGACAGGGGCCCCCAAGAGCCTGTTTGCTCGCCAAGCTCAGGAAGAAACAGAACGCGAAGGTGCAAGGTACCTAAGGTATCTACCTAGGGACCTTACCGGTAGGTGTCGGGGGCAGGAAGGGGCGGGCGAACACGCTTCCTCCCTCCAACCAACCAACCGATTGACCGATTGACAGCACCACTCACAGCGCCTTGGCCCGTCCCTTGTCTCTACCCATCTGCCTTAATTCCCAACCTGAGGTGGCTCTGGCTCCTTTGACATCTCCCACCTTCACCTCCCAGTTTTGACTTCACCCTCCGCCTGGTGAACCTTCTGTCTTTGTCAGCCCAGACGGTGGAACGTCAACTTCCCGTCGGCGACTACAGCAGGGCAGGCAGACGGTTCCATCACCCACGCGCGATCCCTTTTTTTATCTTTTTTGGATCATCATCTCGACTTCTTGCGTACCCAGACACACCGGCTCTGTGACTCTCTTCGACCAGCACCCGTCTCATCGCTTCCTAATGAGAGCCTCGACTTGGCAACTTGACATCTCCATCACCAAAGCGCCCCCGGAACCGCGCACGCATCACATGCTCGTGGCACATCATCCTGCATCGTTGCACTTCATCTCAATCTCATCGCTCCGGTAGGCATCTCATCCCGGATGCTCTCTACGGTCCGTTTGCTCATCCTCATCCAGGCTATCTCATGGATACCATCATGGCGGACAACTCGCCCGCCGATCCCATGGCTGCGGCTACGAGTGCCCTGATGAGCTCAATCCAGGGTTACGTCCGCGCCGCCATCGCCGCGGAGGCGGCCAACGCCCCGCCTCGGTCCGATTCGGCCCTCCAGACCCGCCTGGACTCCGTCATCCACGAGAACACTGAGCTCAAAGACAAGCTCAAACAGATTGAGAGTAAGAAGACCGCTCAATGCCCTTCCAAGCGCAATATTCTTTATTTTGTTCCAAGATCAACGTTCAGTACTAACACCGACCAAGCAGATGAGCGAGACACTATCAAGGCCGCCTTCTCGTCCTACATCGGCGTCGCCCTCCCCGAGTCAAAGCTCTCTCGCCACCTGCGCCCCAAGACCCCCAAGTTCTCACAGTTTAGGAACTTCCCCGTCGAGATCCGTATGAAGATCTGGAAGCTCGCCCTCCCCACCGGCCGCGTCTTCGACCTCTCCATGGGCGACGGCCACCTTTCCCGCGTCCTGCGCGCCACCGCTCCGAACCCCAACGGCGGCCCTAACCCGGCCGTGGCCATGCGTCAGGCCTCGGGCCTCGCCGAAATGAGCGTCACCGCTCACAAGACGCCCAAGCTCCGCCTAGCCTGCAAGGAGGCCAACCGCGCCTTCCTCGAGGCCGGCGGCTTCGAGTTCGGCCTCTTCGGCGGTACTTACAAGGGCCTCTGGTTCAACTACACCGAGGACATCCTCTTTGTCCGCGAGGAGCCCCGCGCCTGGACCAACCTCGACATGTCACGCATCATCCGCGTTGCGTTTCCCCACACGAGGTTCATGAGTAAGGCCGACGTCACCTCCAAGATGGACTTGATCCTCGACCACTTCACCTCGTGCAAGGAAATCATCCTTATGCAGACCATGGAGTGGGATATCCGGTCGTGTCTGACGAGCCCGCGCCTCCCGGCCAAGCTGTTCCCGCTGGGGACGCAGGACCCCATCGGCGCGCACGACTACCCCAAGGAGCTGTCGAACGAGATAGGAAACGTCGCCGCCTGGGGCGACGTGAAGCGCGTGGTTGAGCAGATTTGCAGGGAGCACATCATGGACGTAAAACGCCTGAGCCCAGGTCGGGTTCCCAAGTTCACCGGCATGGAGATGGTGAGGGCTCGTCCGAGCTACTTTGACTAGAGTGCCAACATGCTCCGGCGTGGATCAGAGAGAGAGAGAGAGAGAGATAGGTGATTCTTGGGCTTTTAGCGTGTATCATATCCAGGCACAGGGAGTAGGGGCGTTGGATTCATTTTCTACGCAGGCTAGCATAGTAACATGCCACCGATAGTGCATAAGATCGGTTCTCTTGGATTTGATTTGATTTTAGAATTTGTTTTTTCATGGTCGAAATCCTGATGTGTTTGCGGTCACAAGTGTCCCGTGGCTTCGAAGCCTGATGCTCAACGTCACGCCCCAATCACCAGCATGGATAACCCGAAGGGCATACACAGATGCCATTGTCGAAATTCATGCTGGACGATATCATCACTCCTCGAAGACTCCATCCTGCTGCCTCTGTGTGGATTTTTATCATGTATTTTTCACCTTCTGGTGATGCAATAGTCAAGATTAGTGTGCATTGATGAAACGCCCGTGTCGATCCATCGCGAATCGATAGTTGCCGCATCGTTCCATGAAACTTCAATTGGGCAAACTATGGCCATGCTATGTCCTTCCAAAAGCCAAGCTCGCATTCGAGTCACGAGCAGGAGACAAAAGGTCCCTTTTCAGATGCTGCGAGCTTCCAGACCCAGATCAAAACTTCCCATCATTCCAAACCCCGAATCGTGTTTGATTTCCAGGCTCGTAGTCGCAATCCTCGTGTCTGCTACCGATGGAGAGGCTGTGGATCAGGTCAGTCACCGCCTATCATCCAACGCTCGGAAAACCTCCACGGCTTCCATCTGGATCGGGCCCTTGTAGAAATCCGGCTTTTCCGCATTCGCAGTTATCATCTTTTGTCTCAGGTTTTGCAAGACAAGCCTGAGCTCACCCCAGGTGATAAATTCCTTGTCCGCGAATTCGGGAAAGCTTGCAGCCTTAAGCTGGTGCGGACCAATGATGTCGTCGTCTGTCATGGCACGAAAGACTGGCTTCGTGCCCGGGAGGTCCTCTGGCGTCACTTCTGCAGCTGGGGATAGCATCCCAGGATGCAGAGCGACGACCAAGCGACGGCAAGCAGCGAGGTTGGCGTCCCAGCAGTTTTTGTGGACGAGCTCCGTCAGAGCGATCTTGGGGCTGAGATAGATTGTCTGCACTCCACATACTCGAGTATAATCCCATTGCCAGTAGTGCGAAAAGTACACTGCGTCGTGCTTGTCGTTGAACCAGAGACCGCGGATTCTCGAGTTCTTGAAGCACCCAAAAGTAAAACGACCCACCGACATGCAGACTGCATAGGCCTCCCGGCAAGCGCCTCTCATTCTTGGCGGTGCCCACTCCCGAATGAATCTAGTAGGCTTCCCTTCTTTGTAGCTGAAGAGTTCTTCGTCATCGCCTGTTGGCTCGAACACACGCGAGGCAGGGAGCGACGCTTCCCAGATGGCCCGTCGGATCTCGACGGGAAGTTGGCGGAACTTGGGGAAAGTCTTGGTAGCAGAAGCCCCATCTTCTGATTTGGGCTTTTCAGCAGAGATTTCTATATCAGTTAGTACGACTGTAGATTGACCCTTCAGTATTTGAGAAGGTGTATAGAACGAAAGGGCTCTTTCGACATACCGTCCTCGAGCTTCTTGACTCGAGCTTTTATGCGAGCAATTTTACCCGCTAGAGAGACGAGGCTTTGAGATAACACCGGTGCCATCTTCATTAATATTTTGGCTTAAACACCCTCGCCTAGGTGGGTAGCTTGATAACTGAGCAACGTAGTTGTGGTGATGTTGATTGAGGCTGGCACTTGCAGCCAGAGAAGTTGGTTGCAACTCGGATTTGAGTACTGAGATAATCGAAGAGCAAGATAGGCTTGTTTTGAAAGAAGAATATTATGGCTTTGGTTGTGTGCTCGGGCAATTTGGAAGGTGCTATCTAGTGGGGTGGCTTTCAATGGAGGCAGGTGCGACTTGATGACTACCTTAGAGGACTTGAGAAGCTTAGAACCATTTGTCATGAGTCCCTGCAATTGGCTTTTTCTCTTCGTTTCTTTTCTTCTTCCTGAAATTTATTTCTCTCTTGGCGGAGGAAGGCGTACGATCCTATCTCCCTCATGGCATTGTTGTGTTAAAGCATGGCCGAGATGACCTATTGGAGACCCTTTGCCCAAAAGTACTTTCGAACAACCTCCAAGGTCCCGACAACAACATTTTGCACTTCAGAGATACATGTTACTTACAAAACGATAATCCCGAAGATAAAAATACGTTGTTGAAATCGTCTGTGGAATTATTAGTGTGAATGCCCGTCGTCACTTATCTAAATCCGTGTAGTAAGGCATGCTCAAAGTAGCTCTGTTCCCGAAAGCATAGGGTAAACCAATGACACGGTGAACCGCTGATACGGACTAGCATCTAAATCAGGTTTTCTCCCCCTTCCCGTTCTCCGCCTTAAATAGCACTTGGATCGCGGGCCTTTCGGAAGACTTCGACCGCCTCAAATGTCACAGACATCATGTGCTGCTCCTTCTTCCAGTACTCCTCAAGCGTAGCCTTGTGCTCTTTCCACGTTATCTCGAGGTCCGCATCCAAGTCCTCGGGGTCAACCTGCTGCATGGCAACGACCTCGTTCTCGTTGCGGATCGATCGGAAGACAGGGTACGTCTTAGTCAGTTGCTCGTAAGCAGGGGTGCCCACGGGGTAGTAGGCGATGATAACACGGTCGCAGGAGAGACAACCGAAGATATGCTGGCATTGGTATGGATCCAGTGCGATCGTGTCACTGATACAGACATTCTTGATGCCGAGGAGGTGAAAGTAGTGCCACTGCTCGTAAGTGTGGAGGTAGACTGCGTCCAGATCATTGTTAAACCAGATGCCACGCATTAGGCCGGGCCTCATGCCGCCAAAGTAGCCGAAACGAAATGAACCGTTTTCCATGCAGACCGTGTAAGCCTCCCTGCAAGCCTCCCTCATGACAGGGGGAGCCCAATGTTGGTAGAACTGGACAGGCCGTGTGTCGTACGTGATCCAGCTGTTATACGTCTTCGGCTCGTAGATCCGTCCGGGGGGTAGAGACGCTTCCCAGATCATGCGACGGATTTCGGGTGGAAAGTGTAGAAATCGGGGGAAAGAATTGGCTGGAATCTCGAGGTCTGGGACGAACGCCATTCATCAGCCAAACCCTCGCGATTGAAGCTGGAGCAGCTGGACTCACCGGGATTGACAGAACCGAGGTGCACGAAAAGGTCGCGCAGAGCGTTCCAGAGCCTTTCCATCGCATTATTATGCTTCTGAACTGGGCGGCGATCACTACCAGTCTCTGAAGCTTGGTTAGGAGTCATCTTCAGGCTTTGGCACGCGAGTCTCGATGGTCTACCCGGCTGGCGTGGGCAACCCAGATGGTTGTGGGTGAGGTCCATCAGGAGATTTAGCTGAAAGATCTCCAGTTCCAGGTGTCTGTTTTTATATTGTAGGAATACAGGGAAAGCTTTGTTCAGGGGGACCTGCCTCCCCATCATCGATAGGGTTGAGATATCTGTTGGGCAAGATGAGGTGCAAGAGGGAGCAGGCACAGGGGAGCAAGTAAAGAGACGGCGTCCCTGAACCGAAATGTGAAGCTGTCTGATGTGAATGCTTTGCTTCAGATGAACTAGAAGCGATCCGGTGAGTAAGGATAATTTCACGAGAGCTAGATAAAGAAGCACAAAGTCCGCTCATTTCACGATGCGTCTTTTCTTCAGGCTCTACTTATGTTGACATGTCCCATATATTGACAGTATCCCCTCCCACATTCTGTTATAATAACAGCAAGATTAGCTGGTTCTGGCGATTACTTTAGCTTACGGAGCGGTAGAAGGCCAACTACTAGCAACTCAAATGTTTGATCCGTCAGATATTTAACATGAGTGTACGATAAATATGTACTCAAGGAACATGTGAAAATATATTATCTCTTTCTCAGTGCATACTGACCTTGGCTATTCTAGATTCAGCCCTAGCCTACCCCCAACGCCCAAGTGTTTTATATCAAAAATGCAGTGCATGGTTCTCGTTAAGGCAGCAAGAGCTGCGGAACCAATGTGTGCTGCAATTATGAATCCAGCACATGTGCATAGATCCTGACTTTTATGGAACCAGACAGCGGAATAGCTTAGGATTAGGTTGTAGGGGACATATCCTCTTACTACAAGGTTAGGTAGCGACCTTTTTACCGCTGCGCCCTGTCACCATTTCATTGCTGAATGTTTGTTTTCCAGTCACTTAAGGACGGCATTTTCTTCAACAACAAGCGGAGAAGTACTCTTCTAAACAATTACGCATTCGTGAATAAGGACGAACCACTAAAGTTGAAGAGGATGAACAAAGGGTTATTTAGCACATAGAGGCATAGCTATGGCTTTAGTAGCACAATATCTAGACACCAGCTGTCCAAGTTTTTGAGCACCCAGGTGATTTGACGGACGACAAAAGCCGAATGAGAAGTAAAGCTTAGCCTAGATATCTTCCATCCCCGCGGACCTTCCCTCTAGGTCGCAAAGAAAAGAAGCGGAAAAGGGACGAAAGCCTGAGATATTGGGATCAAGGTAGCTATCCCGCCAATTGCCAGAAGGCGGCACAACAAGAATATCTGTAAGTGACTCTATTCTCTACATATTCAAATCTTTGTTTTCTTTAACCTTTTGGAGAGCAGTCGATGTCATTTCAGCCACATTGCTACCAAATCACACTTCCTTGTAGCTACGGATAGGAATAATGAAAGGTGGTGCTTATAACCGTGGCAATAGGTCCTGCTCACTCGTCGTTTCCTTGTTTCTAGACATACCCGCATTCAGATCACTCTAGTTAGGATGTACATTTGACTCCAAAGGAAGAGTGGATGCAAAACAAAGAAGTCGGGGGAAGAGGTGACCGTAGGTAACAGTGGTATATCAAATTCATTGTTGTATTTGGCCTCGAATGGCAGCAAATGCCACCCGAGAAATAAGACTGAAGGGCCTGCCCCTAAATATAAATGTCGCGTGCACTCTTGGCTGAACCCTCGAACTTTTTGCTGGTAATTTTCAGTCAGCTGTTTACCTCGACCTGAGATTGAACTGTGGTTCGCATCTCCTAAGTATGCCTCACAAAGTCACTATCAGCCTCGAACTCAACCAAACAACTCTGCAGTTCACATTGTTTTTTCATTCACTTACTTAGAACGCAATGCCATTCTTTTCCCCGAATCGCCTCGCTGCTGTTGCTGCTCTGACGGCAGGCTTTGTGGCCGGAGAAGCTGCTTTCTACGTCTCAGTATCACCCCAAGACCTCCTAGAAGCTCTTCCTCCCACTTTCAGGCTTTCTGACACGCCATAGACTACCTTCTGCACTGCCCCATCCTCTACCCGGCCTGCCTATTCGGAAGACCCCCCTGTGGAAACAGGTGCGCGAACAGTCGAAATGTTTACCCCTCTTGAAGAACGAACCAGAATATGCAACATAGAGGCAGATTACACCCCTCATGACGCCATCGACTCTCAGAAGCAGGAGAAGGGCGTCTCCGCCTTCTGCGGCTTCTTGAGAGGAAAAGGCGGTTATCTGGAGCCGAGAGGTATGTCCCAGCGTGTGGAGTTTCAAGACGAAAAGGGAGTGCGTCACCACTACAAGGTTGAGTGGGCGGCAGGGTGCCAGACGGATGTTAAGAGCCAATCGATCCGACGGCCCTTGAGGCCTATCAGTGCGTCGCCCATTTGCGATGACTTGATGAGGGATAATTATTTGAAGTGTGAGACTTTTCTTTTCTTATTTTTTTCTTCACTTCTCCGTTTCCTGGATGCTCTGAATGGAAAGTCATAGTGTTTGATATCTAATAATTGTAGGTAATAATGGTGGTGTCGGTGGTAAGGTGCAGGTCGGTTGCCTTGTCTACACCTACAATGGAGGCATCAGGGCGGGGAAATACTACGAATGGTGAGCCAAACGAAGTGAAGGGATCACTGTAAGAATTTTCACACTTGTATGTACCTCTATTTGGAGATCCTTTCCTTGAAGATTTCATGCATGAATGCTACGTCGTGTTGTGCTCTTTGTCTGATGGGTCGGCGCCTTTTAATACCTGGAATCAGTTTTGTTGGGTTTTCTTGTTGTCTTGATGGCTTGGACAAAAATGATCCACTCATCTTCATTGTCCAATGAGTGGTTGTATGTGTATCCTATGCAGGGTTCTGGTTTCCTTTGAATGTTGTGAATCACAGTGTCACTCGAGGTGAAACTAGAAAGTCACACCTGGCCGATACTCAGTCTCATCATTGACCCAAAGATTCCGTTAGCAATGGCCATATTTTATGCTTCAATCTTAAAGTCCAGGATTATCTCATGTTTCGTCTGACGTTGAGGAAGAGCATATGTAGACTGATGTGCTTAAAAGTATTGTTTCCCAGTGATCATCATTCTCGTGTTCAATTTCGCTGACCACTCCTACATCGACCGTCCGCCTACGACCCTTCGCCGAAAAGAAGCTCCAAGACAACGGGTTGTTTCCGAAATGGCTAATCTGATAAAGGAAATGAGTTCATGTACACACAAGTCAAGCAAGTGGTTTTCTGGAAGAAAGAAAGATAAAAGCAATAATCCCTGGCAAGCCCAGAGCTTCCCTCGATACGCCAAGCCGTCATGTTGCTTTCCATCCGAACCCCAAAAGCCAGCAAATACTACAAAGGTTGGATGGAGTCAAGGAAAGGACGATCGAGATTATAGCAATGTGATTTTGCCCAAAGAAGCCATACATAGAGAGACGTTCCAAGTATAGAGAATCGGCTCGCCCATGTCCGCAACGCGACTTGCATAGAAGAAGGCAAATGGGGGGAGGGGGTCACATAGCCAGGTAGATGCAGGTACAGAGCACACAACCGAACAGTCACATTTGGATCTTGCACGCAGTTTGCTTCGGTTGAACCGTGCACCAGTGACAAACAGCACTAGTCCCAGAAAGGCATGGTGCGGGGTAGGTAAGCTCCCGCCGTCCTGAGGAAGCCCGCCCTGCCTTCTGCCTACCTGCCTGGCGTGCGTCGTCGCGGCGGGACAGCTTTCTCCTGGATTCCATCATCAACCTCACTCTCACACTGACTAGGCCCTGCGATCCTCGGAACCGCAAAGATGTCTACGGTTCACATCAAGTCGCCGACAGAGTTTCAGACGCTCTTGTCAAACTCTCGCATAGTCGTCGCCGACTGTAAGTACCGCCTTGCACAACCGATCCCATCGCATGCCCTGCCCCTTCCCAGTTCAGATGACGCCAATGATGCCATCGAGACTTTTCTCTGGTCGCAAATTCGCCGTTGTTCGGCTATTTTTCTGTAGCTTTCTTGGCGCATCATCAGGGAACCAACTTTGCGGCTTGTTTCTCACCTCGATTATTAGCATGGCTTGCTGACAAATGTGTTCCCAGTCTATGCCGACTGGTGCGGTCCCTGCAAGGCCATCGCGCCTCTCTACGAGCAGCTCTCGTCGTCGCTGTCCCGCAAGAATGTCGTCACCTTCGTCAAGATCGATGTCGAGGCCCAGAAGGAGATCGCTTCTGCCTACAGTGTAACTTCTCTTCCAACCTTCATGATTTTCCGCGAAGGCAAGACTATCGAGAAAGTCCAGGGTGCCGACCCCCGCAAGCTCCAGGAGGTGGTCAAGAAGTTGGCCAAGGAGGTTTCTGAGGGTGGCTCTGGATCTGGTGAGGCTTCCGGAAGCTCGAGCGGTGGAAGCTGGAGAGGTGCGGAGCTCCCTCGCGGCTACGGCGATATTACCGACCAGGTCGAGGCTAGAGGTTGTGAGCTGCTCAACGCCGATGAGGATTTTGGTCCTGTCCGTGTTCTCTTCGACACGTCCAAGCCCAGTGTCCTGGCCAAGAAGGAGGGTGCGAAGGACTGGGTTGAGAGCGGCGCTGACGACCAGCTCCTGCTGTTCATGCCTTTTCAGTCCATGCTGAAGCTGCATACCCTTCAGGTACGAAACACACATCTTGGGCGAAGTTTCAGAGTTACTAACAAAGACCGCGTAGCTCACCTCTCTTCCTCCCGCCGACGACGACGAGGCCCCGATGCGCCCTGGCACCATCCACCTCTACACGAACAAGCCTCATAACCTCGACTTTAGCGAAGCCGACGATACTCCTCCCACGCAAGCCATTGAGCTTACCGAGAAGGACTGGAATGCCGACGGCACCGCCAACATTGGCCTGCGCTTCGTCAAGTTTCAGAACATCAACAGCTTGATCATCTATGTCACCAAGGGTGACGGCGACGGTGAGAAGGTCCGCCTCGACCGCGTGCGCCTCATTGGCGAGTCGGGCGAGAAGAGAGAGATGGGCAAGCTGGAGAAGATTGGCGACGAGGCCGGCGAGTAGAAGTTGACGGCACTCAAGATCTGATTGCCCAGTGGAGATAAGAAAAACTCTGCACGTAAGACCCGACGTGACGAGAATTATGAATAGAGCAATAGCCATAGATGTTACCGGCCATTAGTAGTCTCAGAAAATCGAGAACATGGATAATTGGTTGTTTTCCGAACACACAAGACAGAATGATGGAAGAGCATTAACACAAGTCCGCACGTTGTGTACCAACATACAGGACTCGGTCGAAATTGGTTGCCTGACCGTGACGGTTTGGAAGAATTGACGTCTCGATTTTATCAAGTCGAGTTTTTACGTCGCAGTTAGACTGCGATTTCCATCCATCCATCCAAAGGACTTCCGAGTTTTGAGTATGTCCGGCCCGACGAACGCGACCCAACCCGCTGAGGGGCAGACAGGATCAATGAAGGACAGGGCCGGCTGCAATTAAATTCGATCTGGGGCACGACTGACGCCATGAATTCACCGACTTAGGAATTCTAGCAACAGGGGAAACTGTAACGAGTCGTGCCAGCCGCACGAAGAAAAAAAGAAGAAAAAAAGAAGCCTCTGCAAGAACCGCGACCAAAAATTCTTTTTTATATCGCGATACGGGGCGGCGCAGTGCACGGTTGCGTCAAGTGGATCCGAAAGGGCGCTAGGGAATTCGGAGGAACCTTTTCCCGGACGGGACTGATGCAGCCCTGAACTTGGACAGCCGCGGCAGGTTCCACCGTCCTGTCGGTCGCTGACCGTCGGTTGTGTTGTGCTGTTGCCGGACTTGGTCAGTGCGTCTCATACCCACTCTGACGCCCGATCCCCACAGTTTTACACTCAGTGTGCGACGAGGAGCATATCGGGGTTGAGCCAACTAGATGACGGGCCCCGGTCATCATCCAAAGTCCAGCAAGACGACGGCGAGCAACAAATGAAGACACCCTCTTTTGGGTCCCTCTCGAGCCATCCTGTGGGCCTGGCTTGCCCTTGATCCTTCGTTAATCCGGACATCAAACAAAAACATGCGCATATTGGTCTAGGATACCCGTATGCCACAATGCAACATAGGGGAAAGCCATGTCAACAAGGGCTGAAAGGCTATCATGGGTCTAGGCAGAGCCGAATGCTGCCAAAAAGCACCAAAGTGGTCTTGTCTGACAAAGTCCGCGCAGGGGGGTAGGGTGCGACAAGAGAGGCGGAAGATATAGACTAAACGGTCACGCAACGTCGTCAAGTGCTCTATCAAAGTCCCCTTCACATTGATTGAGCCTAGACTCATGACAAGAAGCCCTTGGAGACTGAGCTTTGGTTTTTTTTTGGGGGGGGGGGGGGGGAGGATGGCCGGAGCAGCGCAATATGCTTAATCAAGCTTGTTTGTCCACATTTGTGTCGTTCGCCGACGCCAGAAGCCTCAAGCAAACGACGTCCAACCCCGTATTCACGAAAGGCCGAGCTTGTCGTAGCCCCTGCCATGAGCCCCTTCCCCTCCCTCATCTGTTTGTCTGTCTTTTTCGGCAAGCTCCCTTTCCCACCGCCCCTCTTCCGATGCCACCACTTCCCCAACCCAACCCCGGTCAACGACTTGGCACCTTAATAGCCGTCTGCCATCTCGTTAAAATGCTGCAGTCACCTTGCAGCAAAGCGTGGCAGTCCAGCGCCGTGCTGTACCGTTGGATGGTTCGAATGACGGCACATCGATGAGATTTCCAATCGCCGGACTACCTGTCAGCAATTCCCAGCTTATTGGATCACGAACTGTCACCATCTCATCAGATGCCCCCGTTGACCGCCAAATTTGGCATCCCGCGCCACGTCCGCCGCCGCAGCCTGTGCGATATCAGTGGGTCCGTTGCTTGCGCTTTTCGGCTACCTTGCACATCTCGCCTGATGCTGGGGTTAACCTGTTCACAGATCGCTACGGTATATTCTTAAGAGGTCCGGATATCGACGTGCATCACCCGCTTTGACATCCGCGCGCCATTAAATGCCCGGTATGATTACCAGATCTGGCAGTCATGGCGCCCAATAGTCCATTGTTGCGGCGTGCCAGCCGCGAGCATCCCACGTTGCTTTTTGCCCACTAAAGACACCGCAGGGACGGTATATGACCATGCCTTGCCTTACCTAGTCTAGTCAAAGACTGACTGACAGCCATCAGATGATCAGGCTAGCCCCAGTTTCACCAATGTGATGGGGGAGGAGTCTCCAAGCAGCTCACAAAACCAGCTTACATCCTGCTCCGTTCCAGGTGGGAGCATCAGCTACATTCCCTTTGCGTTTCACTTTCTTCCTTGTCCTGTCAAAGTAGCTCCTGACTTCGGGATACACCTCAAAAGGCTGCTCGCTTCGCCCCGAGGCGACACTCCGATTGGCGATCGTCCCATTTATACTCATCAACCTGCGAACCTGTCAAGTTTTGAGGATAAACTCCCCTCACCCACACATCCCGGCTCGGTCCTCCAAACAACAGCTTGTACCCTCATCTATGCGAGATACCCCGGGCCGTTAGTCGAAACGTTAAACGAGTGGATATCGCGATCCCATATTTCAAGGCTAACCTCCCCGTCGGGGAACGTTCGTCTGGTCTCTTGCTATTCGACCGTTGTGCGGCAGCTGTCCGAGTGGTCGGACTCGTCGATCATTAAAGTTACGCTCCAACCCCAAAGATTATCCAGCCTTAAAGAAGATCGCCCCATCGGGTTTCCGATTGCACCTTTGTCTCTGAAGATCTCAGATGGATGCAACCCAGTTTCAACGTCACACAGAGATCAGAATGCCTCCCACCTTGTTCACTCCCTTCTCGAAGGAAGTCTCGAGACCCACGGTCACCACAAGCCAGGCCTTCCCCATCATGAAGCTACCGGTGGAGATAAGGTTGATGATATGGGAGTACGCATTACCAGATGCTCGCGTGTACGAAGTGATGGACTCGCCAAACGCAAGCCAGAAGACGCCTGCGGCAGCCGGGCTTACGTTTGCCAATGTTCGGGATGAGCCTCCACCAGCTCTGGGCGCAGTGTGCCATGAGACGAGAATATTTGTGCTACAGCGCTACAGACCTCTTACCCTATCAGTCACCACCAAGTACGTCGACCTGTCACGCGACGTCCTGCTGCTCGAGCCGTACTTGCTGGTCAAGCGTCTGCTCCGGACGCTGCAGTTCTTCAGCCAGATCCCTCTCGTGCGAGACAATCTTAGCCGACTTGCTTTGGGCACGTCGTACGGGTTGTACACTGGCATCTGCCACCCCGTCTTGAGTTGGAAAGTCTCCAAATCCAACATGACAACGTTACTGGCCCGCCTGGCAAAGTTCCCGAGGTTGCGAAAGCTCCTCTTCGTCGTCCATCAAGAGTTTCAGTTCGACTTTGATGTCGGGGCACCCTACACCACGCATCATGTGAGCCATCCAGAAGCATTACGGCCACAGCTGGTGCACCAGGGATACCGCTTCAAGTTCGACATTGAGTCGCATCTCAACTACACCCAGCCTCGACACCCGCACTCCAACGAGTTCTTGTACTACCCGCTGGACATCGACGAGGACAAGGACGACTGCTTCGACAAGGACGATTTGGAGGGCGAGGGTGACCTCTACGAATCATGGCCGACAAACGACGACTGGAGACGCTTCAGGAGAAGGTTCCATAGATCAATCCATCTTGTAGGAAAGGGGTCGCCGGGGAGCCCACAACCAAAGGTCATGCCGACGTTGGAAGGGGCAAGCTTGCTTTGGAGATATAGCAAAGCGCAGCAGTATTGATAGTTTCACGGCTTAACGGTTAATGGTTTTACGGAGTCTGTGGTTCCTGTGCGCTACATTATACCCTCTCTAGACGTTACTATAGCAGGCAAGTTAAATTTAAGAACTTTTGTCTATCCATGTTTGCATTACATCATTGTAGCAGGCTACCTTTCTGTAGCCGCACTTGACACTGCTCTCTCCATTTCTTACCACGTTCAATGCATTGACTCCAGCGGAACCTCATAGCCAGCCAATTCAAGGTTCGCTGCCATCAACAGAACCCAGACCCCGACGAGCCCAACAATGAGCCACCTCGCCAACCAATCCATCTTCTCCTCTACCGTCTCTGCAGAGTTCTTCCTGGGTATGATTCTCGCATCAAGACATGTCCCGCGCGACTTGCCCACGTCGCCGCGCCTCCAAGGACTGCAGTCGACGCAGTGACACCATATGCTCTCGCCGAGATCGACCATCTCCTCTCCTGGCGGACGGTCAAGGTAGGGTACAGGCTCGTTGATGGTGGGGAGTTTGGACTCGGGGACGGCGCCCGCGAGCCGGTGGCAGAGGTGTATCCGGTGATCTTTGCCATCACTTGTGTGGTCTTCAGAGTCAAAGTCAGAGTCAGAGGCGTACTCACACTCAGAGGGTGATGCAACAGCCGTGCTGGCATTACATAACCATTGCAAGGGGGCGTCTTCCTGGCGCGGAAAGGGGGACGACGAGGACTGGGCGCGGGAGCGGCTGAGGCTGAGCTGACATTCGGTGTTAAGAGTGGCTAGATATGTTGGATCTCTCGCGGTTAAGCGGGGGCTCTTGAGGCTGTCGGCGAGGGAAGAGTATGCTGTGCTTGAGCCGTCCTCGGCGCTGTAGAGAGGTGAAGAGGAGGGATCGACAGTTGTGAGTTTGGGTCGAACGGGTTTGAAGCACGGACTACGCGGGCCCAAGATCTCTTCCGAATAGGTTTCCTTTGATGAAGATAGCTTGTTGAAATTGCCGGATGGAAAGGTGGCGGGGTCAGTGAAGGGAGCCTTCGATTCGATGCTACGTTGAGAGGTACGAGGACGGTTTGTGATCCACGGGGCAAATGCCGGGTCCCAGGTGATGGACCTCTTCAAAGAAGGTTTCCATATCTGTTTTGCTGTGGATGAAAACCTCTCACCAACGACCTCCGGGTGTCGAGGAGATTGAAGCTCAGTGCTTACAAGGGTCTTGACATTGTTGGTCGGAAGAACCAATGGTTGGAACTCGTCTCTGAAAGGGCTGTTGCTTTCCTTGGCACTTTCCTTGCCCGGTTCATAGTTGATCTTGCGGGCGGAATGGCTGGGAGAAGGGGGCAGCTGGGCTTTGGATAAGGGGAGCGGTCGCGCCAGTAGCGGGTCTGCTTCTCGAGAACAATTACCATTTGAAATACGGTTCCAAGGCCTTCTTAATATTTGTTTGTTGTTAGACCAGTTGAGTTATCAACGAGATATTGAGTGAGTTGTTACGTAAAGTTGATACCTGGTTTGAGTCCCAGCTATCGGATGTGTTGCATCTGGTTGTGGGAGCTCCTCCTCGAGAATTGAAGACGGCGATGCCAACTTATCATAGGGTGGCAAGAGAAGTCGGAGATAGGGTCTTACTCGAACCTACATTTCACAATCCACATGACTGTTGCAATATCACACCTCCTGGCAAACCTGTTTGAAGCTCATATCACTGTTAACCGAAGTGGCCCATTTGATAGTTGGGTGAAAACTCTAACCCACAAGATTCTCGCTTCGTATCCTTTAGCGCCTTGGTTGCGTTTGCGTCAAGGTATGACAGCTCCGTAAGGCACTCACCAGCCATTATGTGAGGCTCTGCATGGGTTCATCTACACCGGAGCACTTGAAGTCTTTTAGAATGACAGTTCTTCGGTCGTTATGCGAAGAAGGTAGGAGTGTGTTCTCCTCCTCCTCTCGAATCCCCTTACCTGGAAAGAAGATTGCAAGTTAAGTGCCCCAGGAGTCTAAGATGGCTAGGCTCACAAGCCGCGGAAATATCAATAGTAGATGCAAAACTAAAGATGCTCCACGTGGTATTCGAAGACGATCTTAACGTTCCCATTGGTAACTGCTCTTTCGACAATGTTACGTGCAAGTATCACCGCCTTGAATGATATCTCCAAGGACAATGTGTTTTCATTTTAGGTTACTAGAATTAGTTAAAGCCAAGCAGAGAATTTACGAAATTAGCGAAGATATAAGACTTATCGAGCTGACACGCGGTTTTCCGAGATTTGCCGTAGGTTCGCGGCATGTGAAGCTTGGAAGTTCTCGATCCATGGACAGCTATTTGTAAAACGTGGCAGGGTTCCAAGATTTTCTCATTTTTTTTTTAAGAAAGTTCAGCATAGCCATGGCTGAGCTACCAGAAAAACCTGGCCTTGGGATGAAGTATGTAAAGTGACGAGATCCGAGAGGTGTGATCTGAGCAACGAAGCCACTCTTAGCAGCATCAACACTGAGACGCCCCAAACAGCAGCATACATTTTGGGGACCACCAGATAATCCGTTGAATAATTCTTAGAACAGTTCTTGATGACTAGAGGCTCGGCACAGCAGCAGGAGGCTCTGGTTGGCCCGCCGTACCCCGCGCAAACCGGTTCCTTGGTGGTTCCGGTTCCTCCCTCGTCCTCTCGAGCACCTTCAGCATCCATACAACGCAGCCACTCATAGATTCCAGCACGAACCCTAGATGGAATCCGCTAAGTACACATGCTACCCGCCCAAAATCATCTTCGATATCGTCGGTCCAGCCAGGGTCACAACGACATATGCCAGCATGAGACTGAATCCCAAAGTGCCACCGAGGATGCGTGCATGGCCTGACCGAGGCCACACATCGTATGTCATGATGATGATGCCTATTATTGACACGATGAAGGTGAAGAATGCAGGCACCACAAGTATGGGTTTCGTGCCATTGCTGATAGTTGACCCCTTAGTGGCGAGGCTGGCCACTGTCAACAGCGCCCCTAAGTTGATACAGTACCAGGACGCAAGGTAATTCTGGGGCGGCATGGGGGTATATGAAATCCCTTGTTGCCGAGGAGCCGATTGCTGTGCTGGAGTAGAGGTGTTTGTGTCCGACTTGACTCTGCTGCTACAGTTTCCTGCTGCGAGTACCGGCTTAGGCGATGCGGCTAATGCCATGCTGCTCTTTTTCGAATCAACTTGATCCATGCTCATTGTGATTTTTGGTAGTGCAGCTGGATCATGAATGAAGCTTCAACAATTCTCGCAGACTAGGCTGAGAACACGAATGTTGAAGTGGAGGAAAAAGAATGGAAAATCGAATGTTAGGTGCGGCTGGAAAGATCATGTGGGTCAGAGGTAAAAGTACTTATGTTGTCTGTCGGCAGCCCCGTGCCGAGAAGTGGCTCGGCGGCCTCGATCCTCTCATCGGCCGGGCACCAGACAGCGCGCATTCGAGCTGGGCAGGTAGTCTGCTAACGGGGTACAGAGGTGGACACAAAGCACAATCCAGCTCCTGGTTGACCACCCACTCGAAAGTCTCAATGGCGCTGGATGTAACAGCGAACCAGCACTTGAACATTGAGCCCAAAGAACGAAACCAGCAATGATGGATGGCGGTTCTTACATTGGCATTGTTTGGCGGAAGCGCGAGAACAACGCCCGTAAAAGTGTCATTAATAAACATCTATTTTGCTAGTCTATCAGGATTGCGACTTCACCATGAAAATCTGTAATGTGTTAGCCATAGATCTTGGACTGCGGTCAGGGATGTAGAACATACCGCGTTCAAAGCCTTGTCGTCCATCGTCGCCATCCTCTTCTGTGCAATCCACCTCGACCTCACCGCGTGATGACCTCTGAGCACTGGTGTCGAGGTACCGCTGGCAGTCGGTGTTGATGTGCTGGGAGTCGATGTAGATTCCCGCGACGCCTCCTTCTTGGCACGCTTCTCTTCCTTGCGGCGCTTTTTCTCCTCTTTCCTCGCAGCCTTTTCGGCGTCGGTCTCGCCTTTGCGCTTCTTCTTGGATGCCTTGTCGTCGGATGATTCCTCCTCTTCGCTCTCTGCCTCCTTCTTTTCCTTCTTCTTGTCCTTCTTGGACTTCTTTTCCGTCTCATCCTGGGTATCTTCGGAAGCATCCTCCTTTGCAGACTTTAGTTTCCGCTTTTTGTCCTTCTTCTCGCTTGCCGACGTCTCCTCGCTGCCGGCCTCAGCCTTTAGTTTCTTGGCTGCCTTCTTCTCTTCCTTTCTCCGTTTTTTCTTGGCCTTTTCGTCCTCGGATGAAGACTCGTCTTCGCTCGACTCTTCGGCCTTGCGCTTCTTCGACTTCTTGCCCGATGCTTCGCCAACGGCGGGCACATCTTCCATCTTGACGTCGTCCTTATCCTCCTCCTTGGGCTCAGCGGTGGGGTCGTCCTTCACTTGGTCGCCGACAAGCCATCCTCCTCTAACAAAGCGCATGGGGCCGAACTTGGTATCGCAGTAGAGAGTGCCTTGCAGCGTCGCACGAGCCTGGCGCTCTTTATCGATCGACTCGCTCGACTTGCCGTTCAATCGTCCCAGGAGGTCGGAAAAGACATCCATGCCCGTCACCCTGTCATCCCTTGCCTGTTTGAAGCCGAGACCAAGCATGTCGTCCTTGAGGGCGACACGGATGAAGGAGGCATTGGCGGCGGTATGGTGCACTGCATGCGCAGCGTCTTTCGCACCGAGGTACTGTCCAGGCTCCCAGCCCTGGGATCGCAGGATCTTCTGGCCAAAAGAGTCGGTGTCCTTGGTCCATTTCGTGTTGTTGGGATCCTTGCCGATCTTGCGGCGACTGCAGAATTGTCAGTGTCTCGGGGGGCTTGCATCTCCTTGGGAATGTGGTTCTCACGTCTTCGCCTGTGCCAGACCCATCGTTGCGGTTTGACAAGTACAGACCCGTTGTGAAGGAAAATGGGAGTTTTCGCAATGCGATAAGGGACGCAGGTCGGTGCCATTATCGCAGAAAAATTTTGGTGGGGTGCTTGTCGGGGAGTGTGGCTTATCCCTGCATTCTCCAATCTGCATCCGAAGTAACCCCGCTCACCGAAGCTCAGCGACCCGACCGAGGTCAACGGGTTCAGGATCACCAGCTCCATTACACCGCCTTCAAAGTGTTCTTTACTAAGGAAACAAACTACTTTTACAGTTTCCTTCGACGAAACTTGCGTAAAATAAGTTCTGGGAGATGGGAGATTGCAAAAGACTTCATTTCACAGTGTCAAATGGGGAGTTACGCCTCAGGTGCATACGCTGAGACTTTGAATCGAGGTCGGGCAGCCTATCGCCGAGAAGGCCATGTTTGCTTGTTGTTAGTCGATTTTGAATCAAACCCTTCCGCCAAAAATTACAATTTGACCAGGCCCCCCAAGCCAGGAAGGCTTCCATGTTGGTTGCAGGAACGAATTTGTGTAAACACACATTCGACACAGCCAACGCTATTTGCCTCCCCCAAGAGCTTTGCCAGATGATCGCCAGTCCAACTTCAAAAGCTGCCCAAAGGTGATGACCGTCAGACAAGATGAGGCCAAGTTTGCGGAGTGGGCCAGAGCGGAAGACAAGTGCATGTCAATCCGGCGGCAATATCAGCTTGAGAAGCAAGACAAGATGGAGATCCTGGGTTTGTAGAGTAGGTGGTGGTATCAGGCTCAGACAGAGCTGGCACACAGACTTCAGATCAGATCTCCAAGTCCAACGCAAAGAGCAAGACCTGTGACGCGGAGACGATTGGAAGTGATGTAGTCATAATGGAGTCGTGATGATTTTTATATTCCCCAACGCCGTAATATATGCTCGGTTCGTACTATTACATAGAGGACTATCGTCGCATTGATCTCAGCCAATTCTATCTTGTTCGTCGTTTACACCGTGAAGCCGAATCCCTTCATGCAGGCCCGGTACTGGTCGATTGTGGACAGGCAGTCCTTGGCCGGGTCGGCGGCGTTAGAGAAGAGCATGCACTCGTCGCGCTTGGCCTTTTCATCCTTGCATACACAGCAGGGCTTTATCAGAAATTCATCGTCAGTATTCTATGCGTTGCGTGGAAGCTCTTGGGGCGGAAGGTCCGGGAGAGATTGCGCACCTTGGGCTTGGAGGCTTGTTGATCGGCGGCAGCCGGCGCCGCGGCCGTGGTGGCGATTGAGGCTGCGAAGGGAGAATGTCAGCCATTGAGCGATGATGAATGCGTTTTCTGGGTTCCCTACGAATAGCGGCAGCTGGAGAGGCCATTTTGGGTGTGAAGCGAGTGTCGGAGAGTGAGGTACGTGGTTTGCGACCGGAGTTGAAGGCGAGAGAGATGGCTGTTATTCTTCACCTCGGGCCACTTTTTTTTCTCTGCGCTGACCTCACCGAAGCTGTCGCATTTGTCAGTCGCTCCAATCTCGGGGGACTTCGGCACTTTGGCCAATCACGCCTTTGACAAATCACGTGCGCCAACGCCTGTCTCGCGCGTTCTGCTAGCCCTGGGTAGCAAGCAACTCTATGGAATACATGAGTTCAATTGATCAACCACGCGCCGACTTCTGTGGATCTTTTAGGCCTTGAGCATCTTGATATTGCACTTGCAGTCCTGCTGTTCGGAGTCGGTATCCTAGGCCCCGATTTGGTTCCAGGGGGCGGACTGGATGAGAACGAGCCACTCAGTGTGGGCCCCGTTCCGAGACTTGAGCATGACCGGGCCTCGGACCCCGCGAATCCCGGAAAGTGGTATATGTACTGAGTATCCATCGAGAATCCGTACCTACTATTGATGACCGTTCAAAACAAGTCACCTTGCCTGAGACTAGTGTGCTACCTGCAGAATGAAGCCCGCATCCATGGCGTAGTGCTCAGGGTCGGCGCCTTCCTAGATCCGTTTGAGAAACTACGACGCACATCGTGAAGAGGCTCTGTCGGCGTCAACTTTGTCCGTTCTGACCATCTTTCTTACATGCCAAGACCAATCAACAGCACGAGAGTGCACTATATATGTTAGCTAGACCTGACCTGAATCTTGGCCAACCTTCAAACGTGTCTGGAATTCCCTTTCCATGCTCGTCTTGAACTCTTCTGCCCACTTCATTCTCGTGTCGTAAAGATTGCCATTTATCTGCTCGGGGCAAGACGCCAGCATGCTGTCTGTTGAGGAAACCATGGCCCTTGCCAACCCCAATACCGAATTTGAAGAAGTAAAGCTGCATTCTTCTCCTTCATGATCGTTCCGCTAACCTGCCTCTAGCTCCAGAAAGCCAACCCCATCATGGTTGGCGGTTGGAATAAAGACACAAATCTCGCCCAGCTCAGGGGCATGGTGGCCAAGATACTCGAAGCCAAGCTCGCTGTTAAGCCCGATCCATCGACTGTATCTCACGTAGAAAACGATGAGTGTATTATCGTAAGAGACGGCGCATCGGTTGCTGTGCGCATCTACAAGCCCAAGAACGTTCCCAAAGACGGTTGTCCCGTGCTAGTGGCATTCCATGGCGGCGGTTTCGTCATTGGCAACTTGGAAGGCGAGGGACCCCTCTGCCAGCTCTTCACCACCCTAGGCGGGATCGCGGTAAACGTGGACTACCGTCTTGCCCCAGAACATCCTTTTCCTATCCCAATCCACGATGCTTTCGATGCTGTGAAATGGGTATGTAACCTAAACCCGTACACACAGACATGTGAGACTGAAATACTACAGACCGTTCAGAATGCTCGGCATTTGGGTATCAATCTGTCCAAAGGCTTCCTTGTTGGCGGCGAGAGTGCAGGCGCCGACCTAGCCTTGGGTGTCTCCCACCTCTGGGTCAATGAGAAACAGTCACCCCCGCTGTCCGGAATCTTCTCTTCCATCTCTGGAGCCGTGAGTGAGGAGACAGTACCAGAGAGGTATAGGGACCGCATCCTCAGCCTGGAGCAGAACGCCAAAGCGCCGGTTGTCACAAAGGAGACTTTAGATTTTATCAAAGGTATGACGGTCTCCAAGGCGAGCAATAGTTTTCCAAGCTGACGCATTGATAGACAAGTATAAGCCGGATCCTACAAGCCCCCTTGCCTACCCCATCGTGTCTCCGGACCTGACTGGGTTCCCCAAGACGTACTTCCAGGCTTGCGGACTGGATCCGGTAAGAGACTGCACAATCATCATGGAGCAAGTATGGAAAGATGCTGGAACCGCGACCAAGTTGGATATTTATCCCGGGTTGCCTCACGGCTTCTGGAGTCTGTATCCGCAAGCAGAGTTTAGCAAGAAACATCAACGAGACACGAAAGCTGGGCTTCAATGGTTGTTAGACCGAGGATTTGAACATGCATGAAGCATGAAGAGCTGAACAAGGCCAGCCTCGAAATAGGGGATAACTAAAATCAGTTCTCTACTCAGAAAACCTCCGTAGCTGGTGTAGCCACTGGCATTCCACAATGTGACATGGTCTCAACTGGATTGACTTTGAAAAGTCTTTCCACAACGTGCATAATATCGTCGTATTTCGCGCCAAAGGCGCAAATGAAACTGGACGCGTCGTTGGAAAAAGAAAGTCTAAGTGCCAATAGGGGGCGCAATCCCTGAAGATGTAGTGGCTCAGACCCCTGTAAGCTCCAAAGTGCAGTGGGCCCCTGCAAGCTATCAACGCGCTCGCGAGACGCGACGGCACTTTGGGGGGATGAAATGGGGCCGCCTCCCAATTGACATCACCACGAACGCTTCCCCGACATCGCTTTTGGTCCCCAATCACAAAACAACGCCAGCTTCCGCGAGCAAATTTGTTCGCCATGGCGCCCAAGTCGAAGCCGCCCGAGAAGAAGCAGCAGTCGCTCACCAGCTTCTTCCAACCAAAGACCGTCAATGGCCTTGCCGCCGCCTTTCAAAAGTCCCAGTCCGAGTCCCGAACGAGCCCTTCCGAGTCGCCAGAGGCTTCCCGCAAGCGACCCCTAGTGGAAGATGCGGACAAGGTCAACAATGGCCCGGAAAAGAAACCCAAGAGGGCAAAGGGGGGCAAGGGGGAAACGGCAGATGCTGCTGACGAGGAGGAGAGCTCTTTCCTCACGCCAGGAACTAAGCAGCCCGCGGCGGAGCCCAAGTCCAAGGCATCTACGTCTGCCAGCAGGGCGGGACGTTTTGCATACAGCCAGAGCTCAGACATGAATGCTGAGGAAGAGGAAGAGGAAGATCCATCCACGAAGAAGCGTAAAGAGGAATTGCACAAAAAGTTCGTGAAGAAGCTGGGCCATCCGGATAGCATGCTCTGGCGGCGGCGGAGAGAAGACGACAACGAAGTTGCTGAGGGAGAGGAGGGCGAGGAGGAGGATGAAGACGAGGCTCCCCCGGCGCCCAAGGCGAAGAAGGGCGGTGCAAGAGCGAACAAGAAGCTCACGCCAATGGAAATTCAATTCCTCGAAATCAAACGCAAGCACCTCGACACGGTGCTCATCGTCGAGGTCGGCTACAAGTTCCGGTTCTTTGGCGAGGACGCCCGGATTGCCGCCAAGGAGCTCAGTATCGTCTGTATCCCGGGCAAGTACCGCTACGACGAGCACCCCTCGGAAGCGCACTGGGACCGTTTTGCCTCGGCGAGCATCCCGGTACACCGGCTGCCCGTTCACGCCAAGCGTCTTGTTGCTGCCGGTCACAAGGTTGGTGTGGTCCGCCAGATCGAGACTGCTGCCCTGAAGAAGGCCGGTGACAACCGCAATGCCCCGTTCATCCGCAAGTTGACCAACGTCTACACAAAAGGCACATACATTGACGAAAATGGCGAGCTTGAAACCGGTGGCGATGGAGGTGCCCCGTCAGGGGGCTATCTGCTGTGTCTCACCGAAACCCCGACAAAGGGGCAGGGCACAGATGAGAAGGTGGAGGTTGGCATAGTAGCCGTGCAACCGACCACGGGAGACATCATCTACGACACCTTCGAGGATGGCTTCATGCGAAGCGAGATTGAGACACGACTTCTTCACATCTCCCCTTGTGAGTTCGTCATCGTCGGTGACCTCACCAAGGGCTCAGACAAGCTCGTTCAACACCTCTCCGGGAGCAGCACAAACGTGTTTGGCGACCGCAGTCGTGTCGAGCGCGTCCCTCGCTCCAAGACCATGGCTGCCGAGGCCTACTCGCATGTCACACAATTCTACGCGGACAAGCTGCAGCAAACTCCTGACGCCGCCGCCTCGTCTCTCCTAGAGCGCATTCTCCACCTCCCCGAACCCGTCACTATTTGCCTCTCCGCCATGATCAACCATCTCAAGGAGTACGGCCTCGAACACGTCTTCGATCTTACCAAGAACTTTACCAGCTTCTCGGCGCGCCAACATATGCTCCTCAACGGAACAACGCTCGAATCCCTTGAGGTTTACCGCAATGCTACCGATCACTCCGAGCACGGTTCTCTCTTCTGGGCCTTGGACAAGACGACCACCCGCTTCGGTCAGCGCCTGCTCCGCAAATGGGTTGGCCGGCCGCTTCTGGACGTCTCCCGCCTCGAAGAGCGCGTTGCTGCCGTTCAGGAACTCGTCGACGAGCAGTCCTCTGCCAAGGTCGACCGTTTGGAGACCCTCCTGTCCGGCACCAAGACCGACCTCGAGCGCAGTCTGATCCGCATCTACTACGGCAAGTGTACTCGCCCAGAGCTCCTCTCCGTCCTCCAAACACTCCAGCGTATCGCGATGCAATACTCGACCGTCAAGTCGGCCGATGCCACGGGCTTCACCTCTCCGCTCATCTCCTCGGCTATCCTCTCCCTACCCCAAATCCTCGATCTTGTCGTCTCGCACCTCGACAAGATCAACCCCGAGGCCGCCCGGAAGGACGACAAGTACAACTTCTTCCGTGAGTCCGAGCAGACCGAGGACATTGAAGATCATAAAATGGGCATCGTCGCCGTCGAACAATCCCTCGACGAGCATCGTTCCGAGGCCGCCTCCTCCCTCTCACGCAAAAAGACCGTTGACTACGTCACCGTGTCAGGCATCGAGTACCTCATCGAGGTCAACAACACGGACCTCAAATCCGTTCCCGCCTCCTGGATCAAGATCTCGGGCACCAAGAAGCTCTCCCGCTTCCATACACCCACCGTCGTCCGCCTCATCGCCGAACGAGACCAGCATCGCGAGGCCCTCGCCGCCGCCTGTGATGCCGCCTTTACCTCCCTCCTCGGCGCCATTGCGGATGCATACCAACCTCTCCGCGACGCAGTCTCCTCCCTCGCGACCCTCGACTGCCTCCTCTCCCTCTCTCGCGTCGCCGCTCTCCCCGGCTACACTAAACCGACTTTCCTCCCTACCCCGACCCAGCCCACAATCTCAATCACCCAAGGCCGCCACCCCATCGCCGAACAGACCCTCTCGGACCCCTACATTCCCTTCACAACGAGCCTCTCCTCCCCGTCCCCGCTGGCACACCTCATCACGGGCCCCAACATGGGCGGCAAATCCTCCTTTGTCCGCGCCGTGGCCCTCCTCGTCCTCCTCGCCCAGATAGGCTCCTTCGTCCCCGCCGACGAGTTCTCTCTGACCCTCGCCGACGCGATCCACGTCCGCATGGGCGCCCGCGACAATCTCGCCGCGGGCGAGTCGACCTTCATGGTCGAGGTCTCGGAGACGGCCCGCATCCTCCGCGCCGCCACCCCGCGCTCCCTCGTCATCCTCGACGAGCTCGGCAGGGGCACCTCGACCCACGACGGCGCCGCCATCGCCCACGCCGTCCTCGACCACGTCGTCCGCGAGAACAGGTGCCTCACCCTCTTCATCACGCACTACCAGAACCTCGCCCGCCTGGCCGACGGCATTGGCGACGGTCTCGTCAAGAACGTCCACATGCGCTTCACGGCTACACGTAAGGCTGGGACGGAGGGAGGCGACGGAGACGAAGATGGTGAGGACGCGGGCGCCGACGAGGAAATTACCTTCCTGTATGAGGTTGGTGAGGGTGTTGCGCACAGGTCGTATGGACTGAATGTTGCGCGTCTGGCTCGGATACCCCGCAAGGTTATCGAAGTGGCCGCGCAGAAGTCGCGCGAGATGGAGCAGGACGTAAGAGTGCGAAGACTGAGGGGTACGGCTGGTCTCCTTGCCGAGGTGATCGAGAATAAACCAGATCAACTTGACCACCTGATCTCGAACATAGAGCAACTGTAGCACCAATGTGACAAACAAGTATAATGAACGTCTTTGTATTGCTTGAAGCCACGTCTCACGTCTCTGGTCGGTGGGGTATGGCCCCGTGCGAATAAGACTGCACTACCTATAGTTCCTTTTCCATCCGAATCAAAATGTTTTGCTGGGTAAGGTCCTAGAAACTCAAAAGGGTTGCCCTCAGTCCGGTGTTACCGTATATGAATGATCCACCATAACCTTTAATGCCCTGGCAGCAAGTGATAACATCTCCATAGACCCTATTTATTCGCGTATCCTTCGTCCCAGAGAGGCAACGCTCTGCGAGCGAACCCAATGTTCAGAGGGAACGGCGCTGTTATCATCGAGGGTCCAGAGATCAGCTGGTGGATCGAGGGTGGCAAGCAAGGTTTGCTTATATACTCGAACAACTGCGACTTATTAGCATCGCCTCAAAGTCAAACGGACCAGTAACTAACGTACCGAGGAGAAAAAGAAAAGTAAAACGAAAGACCGAAGGAAGCCCATGAACCATGACGATAGTTCGGCTCAATGCGCCTCGGAGGCATGTACGAACTAGCCTAGGTTCCTCATAACGGTGCTCATGCTGCACGTTGGAGCCATGAACATGCGTTTAATGCGCTCTTCAGGATCAGAGATCGTCTCCGAATACATTGGTTCCGTTTCCTGAATCATTCTCGCCGGCAGCGAAAGCGAATTGGTGGCTATAGTACATCGGCTGAGTCGCATTGCCATTAATGGGCATGAATCTCGAGTTCGTAGTCTGCGTGACCACCGGATATCCCCAAGAGGGCTGCTGGTAGAAGATCTCCTGCTGCTGATAGCCATTGAAGGGGTTGGTCGTGGTGGTGGGGTGGGTCATGCTGAGCTGGTTCATCTGAATGTTGGAGTTGCCCATTCTGGCTCGGTTCACGTGGCTATTGCCAGCACCAAAGACATAGCTGTCTCCTGAAACTCTCTGTCCCTGTAATCCATGGTTATTTTCCTTTCCTCTCAAGATTCGGTGCGGCAGCTGTTTGGCAGCGGGAGTGGGGGAAGCCAAGCTCAGATTCGAGTTCGCGTTCATCGACCGGAGGGGGATGCGATTGCAGACGTCGAATCTGGAAAAAAGGGATCATCAATATACCATGTCATTGAGTTTGCCTAGGTCAAGGTTAAAAGACCTAGCTTCATCCATCATCTCCTGAGAAAACTGCTGGGCTGCATTGGAGTCAGCGGGCGAGACACGACTACGTAATGCAAAGAGACTTACGGGCAGCGAGTCCACAGTTGGCGTCGCGAAAGATGTCGTGTTCCTCATGAACGTTGAACTTGTGAGGGTTCAAGTTGTTCAAAGACGAGCCGGTTCCGAATGGAGAATCGTCAAAGTCTTCATCGAGCTCCACATTGATGCCGGCATCGACATCGACGCCGGCATCAGCGCTGCTGGCGACGTCGCTCATGACATCCAACTTCTCCGACAGATAATTGACGTCAATCTCAGTCGCCAGCTTCTGTCTAGTGGCATGCTTCTTGTGTCGCACAACAGTGTTACGAGATGCCAGTAGGGCAGACTTGTCGTCGGGCTCTGGCTTGACAAGGAGTTGAGCATCTTCGTCCTCCTCTTCCTCAACGTTACGGCTACGCTTCTGTCGGCGCTTTGACTTGGCGATCTGTTCAGACATATCGTATTTTGTTAGTCGATGATCAGGTACTGTGAATAGGGTGTTGGATGAGTGCGTACCGGAGTTCCCTCAACTGACGGTGCGTCATAGACATCGCGGGTTCTCTCGATTTCCATTTCGAGATTCGCCACCAATTCGGTGGTGGTGATGGCTTGAGAAGATAGCTCCATCTGCTGAAGCACGGAAGCATCCTTGCGCTGGTTTCTCTTCTTCTTTTGGTCAGGGGTTGCAGCATCGAAAATACCCATGCCCGGCCAGACGATTCCCTTCAGCCTTGCTGACTCAAGCTCATCTGGAGTCCAGTCGATGACATCGTCGGTTGGAGTCGAGACGGGACTGTTGTTCTGGTCTCCATGGAACGTAATGGTCTGCTGCTCAAAGAGGCGGCCAGTCGGGGGAGGTGTCCAAGAGGCGTCGTTACTAGGCTCGCGCTTGACAAGAAGGGGAAGGGTCTTCTTCTTCTTTAGATTCTTTGAATGTCAGACCAAAGAAGGAAAAGATTCCATTAGCAGAAAGCTTACCTGAGAGGTCGGCTGTCCGGGTCGCTTGCCCATGGTAGGGCCCTTCGATCTCTCGTCTTTGACCTTCAGACGTTCTGCGAGCATTGCCTCGAGGCCATGCTCGTTGTACCATTTGTCATACGTGAAGATGGCTTGGGCGGCCGAAAGGTCAGCGATAGCGCGAATCCTTACATCATTGAGGGTCTGAAGATGGCCCTTCGAGTTGAGATGCGTAAGGAGGTGCGAGACATCGGAAAAGCGCGGGTTGGTGGGGCAAACGACGCAGACAAGCGGGATAGAAGGGCTTGAAAGGGTCTTGGCCTCAGAAACCTTCGAACCAGCTGATCTTGTGGCAGTTATTTTGCCGCGGGCCTTGCTGATCTTCAGGGGTTTAGGTGCCTGCGACTTCGGGGCCTGAGCCTTCGGGGCCTTGGTAGGAGTGTCGACGCTGGCCTCTCGAGCTGCAACAGCTGCCATGTTCTACCCAGAGTTAGCAATCGAACAGTGCTTATACGTAACAGCCAGTCGTTACTGACTGACTGTCTATCCATGGTTGAAAGAGAACGACTGGGACGGAAGACAGGCTTGTCTGCTCGGGTAACCAAAACACAAAACGAAGGGCAGGAAATCCTTTTCCTAACGATGCCAATAGAGGCAAAGAACGACAGAAACCCGAGGCCCCGTAGATGCAGGAAGGGCAGTAGCCAGCAAATAGAGCAAACGTGTGACGTTGAAGGGCTCAGCGTGTGTGGGAGGCGACAATGGAACAGGATTGTGGCAATGATGGGAGGTGGGATGTCGTTGTGGAAACATCGACGAAAGAACTGGCTTGCGGATAGGGGGTAGGTGTTCTGACCCATGGGGTGGCAGAGCTGAGCGGAGTCAAGGGGAGGTACTCACGGCAGCGGCAGCAAGAGCTGCCTGACGTCTGGGCGCCATTTTGGGAATGGCAGGAGATATTGCTATCCATAGTAGCAGCAGGTCCTGTCCTTCCAAAAGAAAGACGCGGAAGGGGCGATGGTGGTTGAGTTTGAGAGCTTAGGAAGGAGTAGGTGTCGACGGGCCACTTGCGTGGTGGTCTGGTGCTTGGCTGTTCTTGTCTGAAGTCGCTTGTATGTCAGTGGCTAAATTCGTAATCGAAAGGGTCGTGATGGTCGCTCTTCCTCAACAGATCGAGGAGAGGAGTAGATGGAAATTTTACGAAGCGAGCACCATATCACCTGACAGGAAAGGGTTGCTGCCGTTAAACACTGGTAGGCTAGGCAAGCCCCAATCCTGAGGCCTCTGAGAGCCCGGGAAAACGGCGGCAGTTGACTGCGGCTAAGTCCTCGTCCTATTGAACATACGATGTGCTGAAGAATAGAAGAACCAACCTACCAAAGTCTCGTAAAGCTGATTTCAGCTTACGAGGTTGAGCGTTGAGTATGAAAGGTGCCAGCAAGGGATCGTTATCTGAGATTTAATCGCCTAGTCAGCGAAATTCGGCTTCACGCAAGCCGGACTGAAGGCTTGAAGGCTCACCGAATGAACTAGGTAGTTGAGGTCCAAAGCCTTCTGTGCGATAGTTCGTAGGATTGCTCGTCGTGTCTTTGCGGCTTGTAGATCTTGTCGCCAATCTAAAGAACTAGGTTGCTTCTCTAATGATAAATAAGTAAGAGTGAGCTAAACCTGTTCATATGGTGATGGACGAGAGTAGAAAGATCTCCAGGTCTACCATGAAGAAGAGAAAAGAAAAGAGAAATAATGTAAAATGAAGATACAAGAGGAGCAGATTAAGAGCCCTGCCTCAGTCGGAGAACAAGGCGGGCAGGACGTCAGTAGCTCTCGCCGTTGCTGGGCCCATCAATGATCGTGAGAACTGCAAAGTATGAAGGCCGGTGCCCTGGTAGCTCTCGCCATCTCTGGATGTCAAAGGTGGCGAGCACCTACGAGTGTGAACTTGGTAGGAGAACTCAGGTGTTCGAGCAAGGTAGCTCTCGTCATCCCTGATGTGGATCAGAGGCTGGGTGTTGTAAAATGTGGTGTGAATATGTGCTCAAGAACGGCACTCGTCATAATCCGACCGCAAGAATTTCCCTCGCCGTTCAGACAACGCAACAAAAGTTCAGAAAGGTCCATGCTGCAATGAGAGCGAGAAAGCAAGTGCCGTACAAAGAAGTATGCGATAAAAGTGAGGATAGAATCCAACAGGGAACAAAAGTTGCGACGAATAGAGAGAGGCAACGAATAGAGAGAGGCGACGGAAGGGGCTTATGATAAGACGAAGGTTGTGACGACATTGATGCTGTGACCAGAAGAAACACCAGACGATACGGGGAAAATCATCTGGGGGAAATGATATGACACGTGAAAGAACGGAATAAAGCTGAGGCTTATAGTTCAACGATCAGAACAGAAGCTGGATTAAGCATTGTCTTAGCGAGGAATGTGGATAGTAGACCAATGATTTGGTGAAAAAACGGGTGTTGATGACAGGAGGATGAGTAGAAGACCGTGATATGAAGTGATTGAGAGATGCAGTCATCTCTTGGTGACTTTTATAGCATTCCACAGGGAATTGGGAATGCCCAGGCGCACATAACCACCGGTGACGGCCTTACTAAAGCTGCCAACGGCCTTGTTACCATACCAAAGATCATCATTAACTTTGAGGTCATGAAAGGGATCAACGCAAAAATAATGCAGAGTCCGAAGACGCTGACATAGATATGGTTTTGAAGCCTGGAACAAAAGAGAAGAAAAGGGACGCAGAGGGTCTAGTAGTGAGAGAGTGTGGCCTTGGATGGAACAGAGAGAAGGGGACGAAGGGGACGAAGGGGACAGAAGCCAACTTGATGACTTTAAGCTCAACATTTGAAAGCCAGCACGTACCTAGTCCAAGGATGGTCTGTACAATGGGAATACTTTCTGATGATTCAGGTATCCGTGATCGATTGGGCGATGTGCGAATGACTTCACTGCTGAGAAGTGCGATGGTGGTTGAGTACAGAACAGCGCGTATGGGAACAGTGTAGGCTTCGTTCAATCAGGGTTTCGAAGAAGAAGAGAAAAGACTTGAGACGTAATCCGAAAGGAGATAATGTTGACAAGTGTTGGCAGTACAGCGATTGGCTTTTATTTTCGAAGTAAACGCTTGACAGGTTGAAGACCTTCACGGCCAAAGTGGGACGAGTTGAGTCGAAGAAACGGTTTGAGCGCCTCGAGCGATGGGGGAAAAGATTGAGAAAGTGGAAGAGGTGAAATGATTGGAAGAGACAATGACTTTGTTTTTGTGATGGCTAAGGCGGAAAAGAGGGGGGGCGCGCGTCGAGGTCAGTCGGTTGCTCGGTGAGCGTGTGAATGTGCTAGTGGAGGGACACGGCGAGATCGCGACCACGCAGGTACACCGGCTGATGAGCACATGACCCCGTGACGCTCGCTGCCAGATCGGGACAAGGGCGGGTGGTATGACGACTAAATAATTGCAGTAGTTGTTGGTAATGGTGGTGGTGGTGGTGCGTTGGTATAATTTAGTGATGCAGTAAGTGATTGGTGTGGGTTCACACGAGTTGGAATGCTGAGTCCTGAGAATACTGGAAGTTGAAGGATTTTGGTCAGCGTATTATGTGCCTTGGAGGAAGCAAATTCTTGTGAAGCCAGAGTATTGGAAGTGGAATGCGAGGGACGAGAAGAAGGGGCGAACAGTGGTCCGGCTACGTGAGCGACTCGACGCGACCTCAAGGCCTCGAATGATATGTCTTCATAGGAGATGCCGCGAATCTCTGGCAGTGAGCGGTTTCTTGAGACAATTATCTTCCCACTACTCTGAGCATATTGCTACCATAAGGAGTACTCGCCGGGGGCCGCTGCAGCATTCGATGGCCCGACACGCGTCGCAATAAGTTTATCAAGCAGCTTTCAGCGCAGACACAGACGATGGGAAATCATGACAATGTTATAGGCATCTCCAGCTCACAGCCCACTGTCACATCAGGACTCACGTGTCCGAGAATCACAAATGTAGAGACGACAGAGGTCGATGGAGTCTAATTAATAAATATATCATTGAGAGCCTTCAGCCCGGTCTCTAATATTGGGCCAAACACCAGACTCATAGGTTTAGAAGTGTCCGAAGGCTAGTTTATGGCGAACCGCAGAATGTGACCGCGCATCTCATGAACAAAGCCATCACTGTTGCTCTTCTCTCGCCTTGTATCCTTGCTACCATCATGATTGGGGATAGCAGGTTATTAGATTGCAAGAGGTGTGTTGTATCGTAAGGTCGCCAGCGTCGCTGTCGAGCAATACGTCTCGTGGGTATCCGAATCTCTCTATCCACCACAAACCTCCTACGGCTTCCTCCCCAGCACCCTGTCGATCGTCGGCTTGGGCATGCAGTACACCGGATCAACCGCCACCGTCCCCGGGTACCCCAGCAGACTCAGTCCCGTCATGCCAAAGCACGTGTGCCACACATCGACCGTGTTCCCAGGCCGGTCCGAGATGCCCCCAGCTCCTGATCCTGGCACTTGAGGATGAAGGTAATGAGCTTCTGCCTATCGATCCAGTGCGTCCGCCCGATGATCTCCAGACTACTCAGCACCCACCAGCTGTAGCACACATCCTCGTCCTTCTCGGGCCGCCCGTTGAGCCCGCCACCCGCGACCTGCCGCTCGCTGAGCCACCGCCCGAGCTTGTCCGTCTCGACCAGATCCAGCCGCCCCGCGATGGCGAGCGCCGCGACGCAGGTGAAGATCTGTCCGGAGTGCGACTCATCGCCGGGGCTGACGCCGTAGCCGCCGTCAAAATTGGTGCACGCGACAATGTGCTGCACAGCCCTGTCGATGTCGACGAGCGAAAGCAGACCCAGGAGAGACAGCGCATTCAGCGCACCGTAAAGGAAACGGGTATCCTCCTCACCCCACTCGTCACCTGCAAACGTGCCACTTTCGCGGTTCTGGAGATCCGCAATGACTGCCAACGGCGTGTCAGCCCTTTCCCACGCCATGCAAGACTCAGCGGTGCGACCGATACTTACACTTGCCTACTTGCGCCTTCCCCTTGCCGCGCGACTCTAGCTCATCCAAGGCATCGATCATGACCAGGATCTGTACAGCACTAACTGTATACAGCATGTGAGCGTCGTGGCCGGGCGCGGCCCCGAACCCTCCGCTCTCGTGTTGGCACGAGAGAACGAAGTCGATCGTCTCGGCGCGGGGAAGCGCTTCAGGATGTCCAAGTAGATGGAGCGCGACCAGGCCCCAATAAATGCCGTTTAGGCGCAGATGCTCCGTCAGCCAGTAATCGTACTCATCCTTGCGGGTGTCCAGGCTCTGGACGTATTTCACGTGAGCCGCTGTTGCCAGCTTGAGCTCGTCTGGCAGGTTCTCGAATTGGGCTGCCATGACCTCCGTATCCTATTGTCCTGATTTGAAGACTGCACAGAGGATGTTGAGTCGATCGAAAGGACAGAAAATTCAACGATTCTCCACGTGAGGTAGTTGTTGAAGTGAGGTTGGTTGCTGAGGTAAGGTCTCCAACGGGTCCGGAACGGAAGGTTTCGCCGACTGCCGGGGCAGCATGCTTACGCTCCAGTTGGAGGTCGATGTGTGATACCGGCAGCGTGCACGCGTTTTACAAACGTTATGACCAACTAGAATGCAACGAACGGGATGCTCAGGCACCTTTGGTGACTTCCAACGCAGTCCCTCTAGTACCCAGGCCTGTATCCGCAACATCTGTGATTGATGCTGTTGATGAAGATGCAGTTGGCGCTTAATCCATCTCACCTCTCTGACAGCGTCAAACCAGAACCCTCCATTTCTTCATATTCGCACTCATTACAATTAGCTCTTGGCCTTGTTCAGCGGTTGACAAGTCTGCGAAGAACCTCTACGTTCCTTGTTCCTTCAATACAAGCCTCCTCGCTCAGACTGGAGCTAGCTACTGTATCGTCAAGAAGTCGCATGTGTTTGGAGGCTGCGAACTCATTGTGCACCAGATGAGAGTGTTTTATGGAACAAGCCCGGCTTGGCAATGCAGCTACGGAGAAACGCTCCGCGCCCGTTCCCGATACGAGGTGCCATGCTTGAAACTTGCACCTCCAAAGCATTGTGATGAGGTTGTGCCTTGTTGGTCTTGCATCTTGCCTTCGGTTAGGTCAGTCGCCCGCACCCTTATCCGGACAATTACCAGGCTGGGGGCCTTGTTTCGATCGCTCGCTTCCGAGGGTTGCCCGCTTATAATAGCCACTTCGTTTCCGAGAAACATCGAGGGCCGAATCGCTGTGGTCCACAGACGTTTACGTCGGGAAAGGGGACTAAGAGAAAGCATATCAGGTTCCAAGATCGACGACAAGGGGTCTGTATCTTTATTCTTTGACCGTAGTGCTCAAAATTACGCAACACCGCCGGCTATTCAGATCGTCACCGTCCGGGGATCGAAAAAACTCCCGTACGATTCGGGCCAAGCCCCAAGGAGGCAACGACTGCCTGCGTACAGCCATTGCAGGCTTTATCCTCAGAACAGACTCGTAGCTCTGAGCAAACTATGACCTATCGGGGACTCATTTTGGGATGGCGTGGGCAACACTGGGCCTCTCCAACACAACAACGTGCTGGTCTGAATCTGCGCATCTGGACCACAAGGCCGGATGGCTCCTCTGGGTGTGTACTACGCATGGTACCTTTTACATGCCACCTTGAATTGACCGCGGGATCCAGGCCTGCAAGGACGAAGGGCAAAGCCACGCTGCCACGCTGCCATGTGCGTGTACCGGATTTTTCTGGGTCTCTCCCGTCCCGGCACCGTTCGGGACGTGGATGACAGTGTGCGTGTCCCATGTCCCACGATCCAGCGCACGTTATCCACCACCACGGGGCTTGGCCAGCGTTTGTCGAGGAAACACTGCCGAGTTTCAGAGTGATCAGTCGTGTGCCTGAACTAACCTTCTTCCGGACTGGCGGGAACGCACGTCGAGCTACGCCCTGTCAGAATCTCGATTCGTCCCTTTGACCCTGACGGAATCGAGAACGAAGCAGCAGCTCAGGCGACATGTTCACAAGTCATTCAATTCTTCGAGGGCTCAAGGTCGTTGTTAAGTGCAGCATGTTAGTTAGCCGTTTCATTAACATTTTCAAGGCCCTAGGTAGTAATTATAGCCTGCCGCCCAATCAGGTGTCGGGCGCCTGAGTCTGAGCCTGAGCAGCTAACTTGTGCAAACGCTGTGCGACCTGGCGGTCCTGTGTGTGTGCCTTTCGCAGCTTTGGGGGCACTAAATGATGAACAGGCCGAACTGGATTACGACGACATTGATTCGCAACCGATTATCGAGTGTTTTTGCAAGGGTTTCCGCTCCCTATATCCATATTCTGTCATAGTGCGATGAACTCTCATGGGACGACTTCCAGCCAGTAGCACCCGGCCATTGGCGACAGAACAGACGGGGCGGCATGCTCTTGGAGCTTTGGGTACGGCGTTGGTGAGAGCTTCGCGCGGGCGTTTAGTGCGACTTCTGTGCATGATCTGTAAACACTGGTCGTAAGGTGACATTCGTCGCTGTCCTCCGTTGCCTTGAGACTCTGGATCTTATAGTAAAACTAATGGACACCGCTGAAAGGCTACTGCCCACAAAGTACACCTCGAGCGCGGGCCGTTTCTGTGCAAAGCAGTTGATGCTTCCCGATGCTTTCGAACCTGATGGCATCCCAGCCATGGACACCAACGGCGCGGGCTGACGGCGCACAAGCGACGAAAATCGCCTAGCTACGGAAAGCATGGGAGCAAGGGATGAGAAATTTGGATGGCCATGCCTCCTTAATATGTCTGCCCATCGATCCTTTCAAACTACCGCCTCCAGGTTAGATGCTGGGAAAATGACAATAAACGCAGCATGTACATAGTTCGGCAGAGTTACACTCCTGCGCCATGACCCGTCGTCTCGTTCCCACGGTGAACTCTGCTGAAGAACAGATCCTATGACCCAAGTTTGTAAGGCTTGAGCCTGCATGATGTAGCAGCAACATGCCAACATGGCCTGCCCGGTCTAAGGAGAATGACGGGCACTCTGTTGTCTAGCGATCAATTGACGCAGGACCGAAGACCGAGGAGGCGGGTGATGTGCCGGGCGGCTTCGCGTGCCCGTGCAATGCAGCTGGCCGTGCAGTAGTGCAACTCCTTACCGTCGGACCAGTAGCCAGTCGACAGGCGTTGATGGGGCAAGAAAGGCAAGCCGGGGGGTGGTCGAGTCGAGTTCGCTGTTGAAGTTGGGTGGAGCAAGGGAATGTAGACATCGGCTGCGAAGGCTTTGGTATTTGGGTAGATAGTAATGTCTGAATGTGCAGAAAGGGCATGCATAGCGTAACCATAGTATGCAGACTATGCTGCGACTTGTCACATCATACCAGATTTGTCTCTTCCTCCGTTTGTCGTCTCCGCTGCTTGTCTCGTCTTGCCAGCGTTCCACACAAGCTTCGTTCCATCTCGACCGCTCCTTCATTCCTGCACATCATGGGGGCAGATAGTCTTCTCATATCCGTGTTGCACGGCGGTGGCCGGGTATGGAGGCGCCGTCGATACGGCGCAGCTTTGTGTCCGAGCCATGGGTTCCACAGATGGACACAATCGAGGCAAGTCTGTGTAGAGGCAAGCACTGGCAGTTGCCATGATATCAGCAGTATGTCCCGACCTGACTACCGAACCAAAGGGGCCAAGGCGCCGTGAAAAGAGATGCTGAGTCCGTTCCAAGCTCTCGGCACCTGCAACCAGAGAGCACCCCTGGCGATGCTCGCGTCCCTGGTGAGCAACAGTGCGTGGCTGACCGCAGAAACGTTTGTGTTTCAGAACTTTGGTCTCCGGGCAGTCCTGGAAGCAGAAATGCAACGGAAGCGTTCTTTCATGCCTTGGCGGAGGCCATCTTGCTATCGACCATTCGAGGTAGAGCAGACAGGCAGTGAGCTTTCCATGTCATCAGAGACGACCCAGGGACGCGCTCGTCGCAATTAAAGCGAGGTTGCCCAAGCGGCCCAACGCGTGCCGCGAGCTTAATCCGAGTCGCCGCTTGCGAATACGAACATGGTCAAAGTGAGGGAGAGTGTTTAGGTCTCTCTCTCTTTCTCTTTCGGTGTTGTTGGGCGCAGGTACAGGTTGGCACAAGAGACGCTGGGTCCGAGGGGGGCCATCGTTGATCAATGGTTTGGTCTTCATTATTGGAATCGCTGAGCTGGGGACCGGCCGTGGTCACGAAGCACACTCTTTGGCTCCGGGCCCTGGATGTGGCTCTCTCGGGATTGCCAACAGCAGACATAGTTTCTCAATAGCTCCAGCGACGCCAACGTCAAACAGACGTGCGCTGCCAAATGGACACTAGAAAGACAGTAGGCGGTTCCTGATCTGTGCGCATGGGACTGACGGACGGACAGGCGAGCCGTTGGCCTTGTTACCTAGTCGAGGTCAGCCAGGTGGACCCGAGCAGCTAGTTAGGCTGCAAGCAGCCAGAGCTTCTTGGATGCGTCCGCCGCTTGAGGCAATCGCGGGACGAGGCATGGTGGATTAAGCAAGGAGGCGTGTTGAAGAATGCAGCCATCTCCATTCATAGAGCCGCATTGGAGGTCGCCTGCCATACGGTTCTGGTGAGCCAAGGAGGACGGCAGGGCCTGGCAATTGCAATCAAAACACAATTGAGCGGCAATGCCGGTTGCAAAGGCCCGAGAGGAGAGACGGCTTGCTGGAATCCATCCATACCATACATAGTAGCGTTGGACATGAGGTGAGGTGGCAGTGGTGTCGACGAAGCCTGACGGCACTCTCATTTGAAAGACAGCAGCCAACAGCCCATTCGGCACAGCCCAGGGCCGCTAAGCCTGGGTGCACCCCCACAGCTCCATCTGCCCAACCAACCTAGGTAGGCAAGGTTCCTACCCGGTGCCCGTCCAAATTTGCACCACTTGGTGCTTTCCCTCCCTGTCTCCCGCCCCCTAGCCCCCCCCCCCCCCCCCCCTGCCCTGTTCTCCTGGTGTCCGCCAGGTCCCCGTCCAGGATCAGATCCACACCGGGCATGCCTCACTGCCAGTGACAGTTCTCCCCCTCCTCCAACAGCATCGCACCGACCCCACTTCCACACCCACACACTCACATACCTACCTACTCCGTACCTACTCACACTCACACACTCACACACTCCTTCCTGGCTCAGGGACGCAAGCGCTTCCCTTTGTATCTGTACCTTACAGATCACTTTCTTGGCCTCTGATTTCAGGTACAGACACGGACAGCGTCAGTTGCACCGGCTCCCTCCTCTCTCCCTCGGCACCGGTACCTAAGCAGTCTTGGGTATCCTTACTCTCCTTTTCCGTCCATTGCCTCCCCCTTCTCGGCTGTTTTCCCTTATTGCTAAAACAGTTGAATA